GGGGATTTAAGTATCCCCCGATACCTTTATCGCATTTTTAGATTTTTGTGCACACCTGGGGATCGCCCCACGTGTGCACAAAACTCTCCCTCCCCTCCAGGTGCCCCCGATGTGCGGAAATAAGTATCCGCACACCAGGGGGCAACTTGGCTATTAGCTATATAGATGCTGCTTAGGCAGGAGTCATACTTTTCAGTATTCACACTGATTAAAGGTAAAGGTTTCCCTCGCTCAAAAGCTTGTCGATTCCAACTCTGGGGAGTGGTGTTCATCTCCATTTCCAAGCCAAAGAGCCAGTGCTGTCCAAAGACTTCTCCGTGGTCATGTGGCCAGCATTACTTAAATGTTGAGGCGCACGGAACACTGTTACCTTCCCACCCAAGTGGTACCTATTTATCTACTTCCAATTTCTTGCTTTCAAACTGCTAGGTCAGCAGGAGCTGGGGCCAGAGACGGGAGCTCACTCCGTCATGCAGCACTCGGGTCCTTCTGCCGAGCGACCGACCTTCTGGTCTGCAGCCCAGTGTCTTAACCTCTGAGCCACTGCAGCCCCTGCACACTGATTAGCACTGTATAAAACAACAGAGACTGTTCTGTTTCACAACAAAACATTAAGTCTATGTAGTGAATTTAGTGGGTTTGAAGTAGTATTTTGGTATTTAATCAGCACTCATGATAAAAAGGCCTTGCAGAAGGGATCTGGAAAGACAGCAGCATACATAGAATCATGGAGTTGGAAGGGGCCACACAGACCATCTAGTTCTAGTCCAACCCCCTGCCCAATGCAGGACCAGCCTAAAGCATCTCTGACAAATATTCGCCCAGCCTCTTCTTGAAAACTGTCAGTGAAGGGGAGCTTACCACCTCTCTAGGCAGCTGATTCCACCTTTGAACCACTCTGACGGTGAAAAAGTTTTTCCTAATATCCAGCCGATACCTTTCTGCATGTAATTTAAGCCCATTGCTTTGGGTCCTCTCCTCTGCTGCCAACTGGAACAGCTCCCTGCCCTCCTCCAAATGCAAAGACTTGTGTTCCTGTGTTGCTTTTAACTTTGCTACACTAAAATAGGCGCGACGGGAGTCAAGGGCTGAGCCACCCTGTTTCACAGGGAAGGAAGAACGGAGGCCGCCAGGGCCAAGGAAAAGGGCCAGAGAAGGCAGGCCAGGAGATGCCAGGGTTCCTATGAAGGGATCATTGGAGGGAACACTTTTAAAGGAATAAAGAGGAGGTAAGAAAGGAATCAGCTAAAGGAAAGCTGGCAGAGAGAGGAAGAGGTGCACAGGGGTAGAAAATGTTGTACAGTGGGGAAGACACCAATTTTAAATCAGCCAAATTTCAGGCAGCAAGCCTGCAGCTTATTATTCATTTATTTAGAACACTTTTATGCTGCCTCTCCAAGATCCTGCCTGAGGTACCCGTTTTATACTTCCGCTTTGCTTAGCACACAGTTCTTGCAGTCAAGGAGGACACCCAAGCCTCTTAATTCTCTGCCGTGAGGCTCGATCTTCATTTGTACGCAGTCACTGTAGTAGGACAACAAATGCCCCATTTTGACGTGATTCTTGCCAAGGAATGGTATTTTGTGTGTGTGTGTGTACATATATTTAAAATTAGAAATCAGATGTGTCTTGCATAATTTGTGTATTTACTATCAGGTCTTAACACTTTAACCTAAAGAAAAAAATAATGCATTTATTGAGCTCCACCCTGCAGAACTTCACACTTGTTATTTGTAACAAAGCCTTCTCAATTTATCAGCAAATGATTAAACATGGTCCCATGACTAATGAAAACCAGCGGACCCCAGCCTTGTTGAGCCTGTGGGCAGATTTGAAACTGAGAGGTTGTGGGCCCCAAAAAGCCATAAAAGGGCTGTGGTGTCCAATCTCAACATGTTCCATCCACAGAAGTTAGGAGGTTCCAGTTTTCCTATCATGCAGACAGCTGCTGATGTACAGGTGCTTTCTGCAGACACGAAGGAGAATTGGATTTATACCCCACCCTTCACTTGGAGTCTCGGAGTGGCTTACAATCACCGTCCCTTCCTCTCCCCACAACAGACACCCTGTGAGGTAGGTGGAGCTGAGAGCCCTGTGACTGGCCCAAGGTCACCCAGCTGGCTGCATGTAGAGGGGAATCATACCCGGTTCTGTAGACTAGAGTCCGCTGCTCATCATAAGCACTACACCAGACTGGCTCTAAAGGTGATGCTCTTCTGAAGCACTTCCAGCTCCAGTGAGAGAGGAAATACAGGAAAGGCTCTTTGCTTTGATGAGGGGATGCCTTGGGGAAGGAGCGAGTGGGCACTACAGGACATCATTGGGTACCATGGCCGGGCATCACCGATGCACACACACTGATCACTTTGGAAGCCCACCAGATTCTACCTTCAGGTGTGGAAGTTCTTTGCATATGGTTCCTTCACTTTACTCAGATGATCCATCTTTCAGTGTCTTGGACTGTTACCGTCATTCCCAGTTATAGTGCTCTCTTGAAGCACTTTGCTAAGGCTTAGCATGTAGCCTCTATTTCACACAGAACCTATTACAGCAAAAGGACACAGGGCTGGACTGCTACAAACACCACGCAGACAGGGTATGTGTGGAGTTTTGCTGTGGTGACTCAGCAGTAGAATAGATGTACTGCAGCAGCTGTCACCGGGTCTCCTGTCAGCACTGTACCTGGCATTTAAGAGACATACAAGGCATGGTTATTTTTATACAATGTTTTCCTGTGCAGCGTGCTTCCATAAAGTTCACTATAGTCCAGTTGCTCCTGTAGCAAATGTGCCCAGGATGGACAGTTTTCCCCTGTACAAAAATCTTTTATGACTAGAAATAAGGCTGCCTACTGATTACAACTAATACTGCTACATCCAAGCCTATAAAAATAATCTGTCAAAGGTTTAACTTGCAGACACACCACAAGAAGTCACAGAAAAACAACACAATTGAAAAAAAGCATCATTTATTTTTCAAGTACAACTCAAAGTTGTATCGGTAAGAAAAGCACAAGGAATCTTGTTTTATTCACAAGTCTTGGCTATGCACATTTCAGTTCAACTTAAAAATGCATTCAGGTTTACAAATGTACAAACAGCACATAAAATGTATAGTTTGAACAAAATGCTCTTACATTCAGCCATTTTTGCTCCTAGATTTTTACATTCGTAGAGCCTTTAAACAAAGACAGCTTTATTTTTAAAAAAATACTCTGCATTTTTAGCACAAAGTGCTCTTTAAAATTATGTTTTGGAGCATAATACTGGAAACAAAAATTAAAAACCAAGCGTGGTATTTAAAAATCACCGCATTATGGGTCTTAACCAGGTTTTTGTTAAAAAAAAATATTAAAGGGCAGATGGTAAAGAACCAAGACTCAGTGGCCTCCGATGAATCATTGTTGACTCCATCCAAATTTTTCCAAGCAGATCAGCAATCTCACACTACCATAATTGCAGATAAACTTGAAGAGGAGCATGAGATGAATGTATCACTGGCTTGTAATGATGTTTGGGGAAGGGGGTGGAGCAAGGGGGAGGAATGGTAGCAAACTGCTTGTGAATTATGTTCCTGGATTTGGCATATTACGAAATTTACCATGATCAGATCTGGACAAGAGTCCTTTTGCTTCGCTTAATTTCCATTTTCATGTGGGTAATGCATGTTAGACCAAGGATCTGAGCTTCTTCTTCCAATTGCAGGGCTCCATATTCGCCAAGGGTTATAGGCCTGTCCCAAGTCTCCAGGATTGCTAACTGCTGGGGCAGCAGCAGGTGGTGGAGGAGGATGTTCACTCCCCAGATCGATATCTGGCAATGTATTAGTGGGAGTGTTGAAAGGAAGGGTGTTGTTCAGGTTACTCGACCAAATGGAACTGCTGAATGGAGTGGTGCTGGCAGACCACAGGCCATTCGGGTTGCCAAGGATAGACTGGATTATAAAAAGAGACAAAAAGTGGAGGGGAATTAATATAAACGTCCTAGAATCCTGCATCTTGGTTTCACTCTGAACAGTTCTAAGTCACTGAGAGAACACACAGATAACCCAATCCTTCAGAGTCCTGGACATTAACTTATATTATTGCTGCTTACAAAATAAATAAAAATGGCTGCTTGGATGGGTGATGGCGGAGGAAAATGCCGTCAAGTCACAGCTGACTTGCGGCCACCCTGTGGGGTTTTCAAGGCAAGAGACGTACAGAGGTGGTTTGCCATGGCTTGCCTCTGCGTCACCACTCTGGTATTCCTTGGAGGTCTCCCATCTTGGGGGTTTAGAACCCACAGATGTGCTACAGACTCACGCTTCCCAGCATGCTGTGCTACAATGGAAAAGGCCAGAAATGTTCTACCTAGGAGAGTAGCTGCAGAGGTGAATACAGATCTGAACACTGGGGAAGAGCAATTGAATATAATGACTTTGCTACAAGATCACTAGAAGGCAGCTTAACTAGTGACATTATGGACAGACACTGGGAGGAGGATTTTTGTTTTGAACCACTGTAGGACTGTGAAGGATCAGACAGTAAAGATGTCCTGGGTGCACGCATGGGCTGCAATGTAATTTTCATTACTGACACACAGATCACTGGACTACAACGAGGAGTGGGGCCATGGCTAGATGCTAGAGCTACTTCTATCCCCACCAGGTCCAGTTAAAATGGTCAGTTAACAGGGGATGTGGTTGACCTCTGTGCAAGATCTTGGGAGAGCTGCTGCTCATCAGAGTAGACATACCAATGTACCTTGACACGTTGCGTTATGGGTCATCAAGTCATGTCTGACTTATGGTGACTCTATTAATTAATATCCTCCAAAATGTCTCACAATTTATCAATTGCTCAAGTATATCTTGATATACTGATAGTGTAACACACCTTAATTGAGAGGGATGGGTTAGAGAAATAAGTGAGCCAGGACTGTGATAAACAAAAGTAATGTAGAATCAGCACAACATCAGAGGGGGACAAGAGCGTACAGCTAGAAAACTTGGGCTTTAAGGCACCCCTTTAGCTATGGACAAAAGCTAACAGCATTGGGCAAATCAACGCATCACTATCCGAGTCCAAATGGTAAAGACTGAATACCAGAAGAACTTTTATGCAGGATTTACTTAAAATGGAAACCTAGTCAAAACCACAGTCCAAAGAAATCTGTACAGTCTCTCCCCCTCCCTTCGACTGCAGCCATATTTAGACCAGTAGTTCAGAGTGCATCTCTCTGTTTCTTTCTTCAGTCATATGAGCAAGGGTGTCAACAGGCTGGGGATGTGAAGTAGACTTACTGCAGTTGTGTGAGTCGGGGATCCAGAACTTGAGGGCCAGGAAGGTGTCCTGTCTGCAGCTGAAGAGTCCCAGATGGATGAAGGAACAGCACTAAACTCACTCCAGTTTCGCTGAACATCCTGACCATAAACCGACGGTGACAGCCCAAGTTTGCTGAAAACTTCTGCATTGGAGGGGCAAGGAATGGGAATAAGAAACATTTACAATGCAGTATCATGAAACAAGATTTCCTATAGATAAAATGAACAGCAGCATTATATTAATAAGTCATACGCAATACAGATTTTACGTTATTGTGTTTGAACTGTGTTTGAACAGGCACAGTTTCACAAGCATTGCTGATCTCCAATCAAAGGCAAGATGATGCCTCTACTACAGCCAAGTTAAAAAGTGCCACACATGCAGAAGTCCCATCGAACCATATAGGGTGTGCTTCTTCCTTTATGAAGAACTGTAATGCCTTTTGGTAGGCTTTGAACACTCACTGCCCAATAAAGCTTTATGTTTAATGTAGGACCAACTCTAACAAACTCAGATGTAATAAATTCTATGGGGCTAGCTGTGTTAGTCTGTTGAGAACAAAAACACTTTGTTTTTAATTACTAATTTAAGGTGCCACAAGACTTAATGGCTAGGACTGACTCTGAACTTTCTAACACTTGCTAACTAAACCGTTATCTGTTCTCTTATTCGAAACCATTCATGTCTCATCTACAGTTGTTTGCCGAGAGATTTAATTTCCTATAACAATTTAAATGGAAGCATTAATCTTTGAAGGCAAGGGGTGCTCTGCAATCAGCAAGTTCCTCTTGTTTTATTGCTGCCATCATTTACTGTGTTGCAGGAGGCAACGACTGCCAATAACAAAGAGAACACTAGCGTGATGGCTGTGGGGAAAAAAATCTTATCTATAAGGTGGGATAAGCTTTTTATTTCCCCATAAAATGCCCCCATAAAAATACAAACACCAAAGCATAGGAGAGCATTCCTCCAACCCTGCCTGCTTATATACCTACATTTTAGTTGGAGAGGCAGTTCTGAAGGCAAGCTTTTTGTTACTAAAATAGACCTCACTGCAATTTTTGGCAGAATGCTCTAGCCCACTGTAAATCACTCGCGCAACAGTGGAGGAATGTATGTCGTATTGTTTCAGGGCAGACAGCCAGAGCAAAGTTTGGTAGCTTCCATCCTGGCCATCCAAGTCCTGCTTTTAGTTCTGTATCAAAAGGGGGGGGGGAGTCTATTTACACAGAGAAGAAAAAGGCTCTTGTCTATTTCAAAACCAAGCAAAAGTGAAAAGGAGGGCCAATATTAAAACCTTTCCATAAAAGATAAAGAGGTACATGTATTTATTAATAATAATAACAAATTTTAAAACATATATAGCGGCCCATTTACAACTAATGTATATAAAATATAACAATATCAAGGGCTTACAAAGTTGACCTTATGCGTTTCGGCCAAATAGGCCTTCCTCAGAGGTCATACATATGTGGCAAGATGGTCTTATGTGCATATTTACCTTGTGCCTGGTGATTTTACTTTTGAACAATTTACTTTATGGTCCTCATTGAATCTATATTTTGTATATATTTCTGATTGTGTGTATGTGAAAATAATTATTAACCATCTTGCCACATATGTATGACCTTTACATTGGTTGTAAATGGGCCGCTATATATGTTTTAAAATTTGTTATTATTATTAATAAATACATGTACCTCTTTTTATCTTTTATGGAAAGGTTTTAATATTGGCCCTCCTTTTCACTAACCTCTGCTTGGTTTTGGAGTTCATTGTTAGGTTCAGTGTTTTCCCCCCCTTGGTTTCTTCTTGTCTATTTCATACAGAAATGAAGTTTGTATATGCTGCTACAAGAGATGCCTATTCAGCACAGATTAGATTGCCAGTTCTTTCCAGCATGAGGCACTAATGGATTTCAAAGTGCAAGGCAGGCACAGAGCCCTTCATTCTTTCCTGCCCATGGACTGACTCAGTTTGACTCCAAGGGCGATTCTGCATCTAGCATTTGCTCCACATCTTCTCAACGGGGAGGAAAAAGTGCAGCTCAAAACCACACTCAAATACCTTGGGGCAACGCCGTACGCCCCTGAACAGCCATAAATCTATGCAGAAGCTACCATAAAACCCGATAATCAAATTGACAGCAGCATGCAATGCACAGGGGAATTTCTGTCCCAACGTGGGTTTCATAAAACAATGGAGGGAAAAGCCAATGGAGAATCAGCCCAAGTCTAAGCCCTTGTTTTTCTCCATAGGCCATTTGTTGCCAAACTCTTCCCTCAGGAACCTGCTTGAATACTGCCAGTCTAGACCGCTAAGGTTTTGCTGTTGTCTGTCAAAACTGAGACAAACACTGCTAGCTGAAATTCCCATATTTGGCTTCTCTTAATAACTAAAGAGTGATCTGAACATCTTCTCTCCAGTTCTTTGGGCCAGTGTGACACAGTAGTTAAAAGTGTTGTGCTTGGCCTCTGGCTTTAGAACTCCCCTCTCAACCATGTCATTTATTGGCCCTGGACAAGGTCACTGTCACCCTAGCCAACATGAGAAGCACTGGGGGTGTTCAGTGATCAAAGACATCTTAGTTCATCCACCATTAAAAAAAAACCCTTAAATAAAACAGATGTGTATGGTTTTTTTACTATATGGACATCAAGGATAATTTACAATTTTTTGGAATTAATATACAAAATAGTAAACGGAAATCCAACAATTACAAATATCATCCAAATCTCTGAAATACTAAAAGAAGCATAAAATACTTAAACTGAATGCTGTCACTTCACCATTGGAATGAAACATTGTATTGTATTCCCTGACTCTCAACCTCACTCTTTAAAATTGTTTCCAACCAAAGTTTTAGCTGATTAAAGTTCAAAGCCTCAATAAGACTGTGACCTACCCCAAGGCCTTTAAAAAGGGTTGGGAAGAATATAAACAGTTCAAGCTTGGAAACCTCAAGATAGAATGGCTTGAGTACAAAGCGTCGGGAGCCAATGCCTCCTCCTGACTCGACCCTGCCCCGGCTGCCTGAGCTGAGGACATCTGGGGCCCATCCTCACCCATGCAAGGAAAGCCAGGAGAGGGAGGAGGCTGGGACCCAGAGGCAGGTCACTCTGACACAGCCAAGGAAAGGCAGGGAGCCCGGCAGCAGCGAGGAGGGGCACGGTCAGTAGGCAAGGCTGGGCTCGGACGTGGGGAAGGCCAGAATGGGACAGGCTTCCCTTCCCTTTTATGGTCTCCCAGGTGGAAGGGGATTGGAGACAGGCCAGGTAATCCTATAAAAGAGAGAGTGGGAGAGAGAGAGAGGGAGAGAGAGAACAAGTCTGGGGAAGGAAGAGGGCCCAGCTGCCGGAACCCCCTCTCCTTCCCAAATCTGAGGCCAGAGGTCCTCTTTGGTGGTGGGATGGTGGATGGCAGGGAGACCATCTTGGGGGAGGGGGAGCCTCACAAAGAAGTTGTTTTTCATCAGCGGAAGGAACTTCCATTTGCAGAACAGAACATTCCTGCCTCCTTGTCCCCACTCCATGGCCAAATGAACCCTCCAAAATGCTGTTCCTGGGATGGCAGATCACTATGAAGAACAGTGAGGAACGGCCTGCAGCGGGGGTTGGAGAGGAATCAGAGGTCAACTCCCACCACCAGAAAGCAGCCCATGATTTGACTCCATATTTGTTAAAAACTATTCATGCAAGAAACATTAAAAGCTATTTTCCCGGTTACATTGTTGCATTGTATTTTTTTTTTTTTACTCTACAGCATACTACTTACCTCCAGTTAAATTAAAAGAATTTCCAAATGCTGAGAATGAGTTGAGGGGTGTGAAATCTGGACTACCAGGATTACTTATAGGACTCCACAAACCAGAACTAAGCAGGAGAGAAAATATTGTTGTTAGCAAGGTCACTTCAGTGTGACCACCACCAATATCCAACCAAACATAAAAGATCAACTATTTGGAAATGAAAACAATTTTAAAACCATAGCAATTTAAGCTAAAATGGATTATGCCTGGGCCAGTGGAACTGATACGTGAGAAAGAGCAGACAGGTTATACAGTCAACATCTTCAGCCTCAGCAAAGTGAATTAGTTTACAACAAAGCAAAATTATGGTTCTCCCTTTTAGTGTCATGTGATCAGAAGAAACAATGTTTTTTGTTCTGCCGAGTTGTGGGGTTTTAACTAGGGGTGTGCATTTGGTATAAACCGAGCCAAAAAAATATCCGAAAAATAACTTACCAGTATTTTTAAACTGGTTAATGATTGGGGCTTAATTTCAGCTATCCAAAATGGCCAAGCCCTGAAAATTCCAAAAATATTCGGGATTTTCGGGACTGCTGGGATCATAGTTCCTTAATATTCAGGATCACAGTCCCTTTAAATGCCTTCCCTAAGCCATGCGACTCCATGGCGAGTGAACTCCAGAGGTGTTTAAAGGGCTCACAGTCCCTTTAAATGCCTTCCAGGCGAATTTGCTGCTTGGAGGTGTTTGAAGGGACTGTGAGCCCTTCAAACGCCTTTGGAGTTTACTCCCCACGGGTTTTGGGTTTGTTTGTTTTTTTGCACACCCCTAGTTTTAACTGCCACATTCTACTCAGGGTGTCTTTACTCATACGCTGCTCAATAGTGCTTCCTATTTTAGACAGACAAGTTACCTGTCCGAGCCATCACTGTCAACAGCTGTATGTGACATATTCATACTGCCAGTAGCCTCAGTTTTAAGCGGTGAAGGCTTTGTTAGGCCACTCCCACCTGTAACAATAAATTTAAACTGAGCAAAACAAGAAACAATGCTGTAAATACCCTCTAGGACAGTAATAGCTTTTCTAAGTGTGTGTGTGTTACCTGGACTCTTGTCATAACCCGCAGCTACAGCAGCAAATGTAGGGTTTCCATTCCTGCCAGGCAGTGAGGCTGCCTTGGCCACCTTATGTTTGGCACCACTGAGCAACTTGCTTTTTGGTTCACTACAACAAAAACAAAACAAAGGGATACAGTTTTTTAAAGCTCACACATACCTCTCTGAAATTACATGAGGGTTTGGCCATCTCTGTCCACACTGGACATCTCCTTTTGGTGGCAGTCCCTTCTTTTACAGAGGTTGGCAACAAGTGTAGGCCCTGCTCAGCGCACACACACACACACACACTCAAACCACCCATATGCCCAGTTCCAGGGCATACCCATTGCCGTGCCAGTCCCAATTCTTGTTCGGTTCTGAGGTCTGTGATAGGAAGACTGCCCTAAATCATTTTTTCTTTTCATTGCTAGATAGGAAACCATCCAATTCCAAGACTTGGTTTGATCCAAGGGAGGCCTGAGAACTGCATGCAGTGAAGCTAGTACTTCTCTTTCCACAAAAAAGCAGGGGAAAGAACTTGGATGGGAGGGCCCTTCTGTCATAGACCATTTCCACAGTAGTGACCATTCCCTGGGTCGACGTATTTAAAACTGGGTTATGTGAAATTTTCTGCAGTAAATTTTTCCTCACCAGGCACAAACCCGAAGTCTTCTTACCCAATGGTTTTGGAAACCCCCATTTTAGCAGTTCCAAAAACATGGGGGATAAGAAGGAGAAAACTTTGGGTTTGCGCCTGGTGAGGAAAAACCTACTGCAGAAAATTTCACAGAACGCGCAGTTTTAAAAACATCAATGTGGGGAATTTCACTACGGCAGAAATGGTCTCGGTCAAGAAGGTTCAGTCCTCTTTTGGAAGACTGCCTGGAATTGTCCTAAGATGGCCAGCGCCCAGCACTGGAACTACTAAGTTCTTCCTTCTCACTTTTGAATCCGAAAGCATTATTGAGAAGAATCTCACCCTTGCCCTGGAATAATTATCTTCATAGCTCATACTTACTGCAGTTAATTGATAACGATTTCTCCATTGTCATATTAAGGAATATTGATCCTTAGACGCAACCTTTGGCCAGCCATGCCAACACTCTTCTAAGTTCTACTGAAACTGCATCTTTTATTTGGTTCACAGCAGAGCTGAAAGAGTTTAGTGTGTGTGTGGGGCTGTTGTTTTGTTTTTAAAAAGCCAAATCCTGCAAGTTCTCCTTACCACGGGGATTTTGTAAAACAGCATAAAGCTCAGCACGGAGATCCTGAGTCCCCATGTACCCTGGGGTTCCAGCACCAGCTGTGGAAGATGGAACTGCACAAACATAGTTTTTCACCTGCTAAAGCTAGAGACTGGTCTAAAAATACAGAGCAATCCCTCTGGCCTCATGTGCCCATCCCAAAAGGCTCCTCTCACATGGTGCTCTGCTGATATATCAAGATGGGTAGCCATGCTAGTCCATCTGTATTTATTTATTTATTTATTAAACTTATATCCCGCCCTTCCCCGTAGGGCTCAGGGCGGCTAACAGGCAATATATATTGCAACAATAAAACAAGCTTATCAAAGTTAAAAAAGATATACATTTAAAACCCATCATAATACAAAGTTAAATTTAAATTTAAAATACTCATTAAACTGCACACCCAGAGACTCCAAAAGTGTCCAAAAAAGTCCAAAAAAGAAAAAAAAGGAAAAAAAAGAAAAAAGATGGCGGTCCAATAAAGGTTCCCCAACGTCATTTGATGGTTTCAAACATTCGTTCAGATGGTTAAGATGTTTAAGATGTTCAAACATTCCAGTGTTTCCGATGTTCCTCCCTTCCTAGGGCCTCTTCCACCCCCCCTGATGGCAATATAATGGGGGGGGGCGGGAGGCGGCGGCCCCTTACTTGAAAGCCTGGTGGAAGAGCTCCGTCTTGCAGGCCCTGCGGAACTGCATCAGGTCCCGTAGGGCCCGGATGTCCTCCGGGAGCTCATTCCACCAGGCAGGGGCCGCCACCAAAAAGGCCCTAGTCCTTGTAGCGACTAATTTAGCATCTCTGGGGCCCGGTACAGTTAGTAAATTTCGGGCCCCAGACCGTAGTGCTCTTGGGGGAACATACGGGGTAAGGTGGTCCCTCAGGTAGGCTGGACCCAGACCATGTAGGGCTTTATAGGTAAGAACCAGCTGTAGCAGCATAAAAGATCAAGAGTCCAGTAGCACCTTAAAGACATACAAAATTTGTGGCAGGCTATGATCTTTCGTGAGTCACTGCTCACTTCATGGGCATGAAAGCTCATATCCTGCCACAAATTTTGTATGTTTTTAAGGTGCTGCTGGACTCTTACTCTTTCCTAGAGCTCTGCTGGAAAGTGAGGGACAGAGGGCAATAAAATTAATGGAAAGAATTTAAAGAGGAGTCTAAAATGCAAAAAAGAAGAAAAGAAAAGCATTTTATAATGGCAGAAATAGTAACAAGTTTTTTGCCTCAGGAATTTGTCCTCGGTTAAGGCAGCAGCCACCAGAACTTACTTGCAATTGTTCACAATACTGCTGTAAGTGCTCCGTGGTACAAAGGCCAATGACGCAGGAGGAGGTGATGGAGAGGCAGGCGTTGGTGAGGTCTGTCGTTGTTTCAAGAAAGCATCTGCGCTGAGGGTTTGCAGGGACAGCTTATAAAGGCTGTCACTAGCTGGACAATTAAAAGCGATACTATTTTTAATCCTTGACGGCTTCAGTGCACAAGACCAGTTTTACATAGTTATGTTACGTTTCCTGAAAAAGATCTATTCCAATGCCAGTTCAGCCTCCCATTGTGAGAACAGAGAACGGAGCAACACAATGTATTTCAAATGTGACGCCATGTGACCAGCACACATTTCAGTTCTCTGACTGCTAAACAAGGAGGTTTCTGTGTGTAGCTGGAAAAGGCTCAACCAGTATAGAATAAAAGTGATTTATTTATTTTTTAAAAGTGATATATAACTATTTTTTTATACCCCAGTGTGCTTCAGTTCAAAAGGGAACTTCAGGAACAAAAAATTGGCTATAATGCTGGCTCACTTTTAGATAACAGCTCTTGTTGTTTCAGCCTATTTAGCCAGTTGAATTGACAGCATTTCCAAGATGTACTTGAGCAGCCTAGTCTTACTCAGGTCTCTAGCCTCTGTACATCCTCCTTGGTCTGCACTATGCTGAAAATTGGAATCTTGTAGAGAGTCAGCTTGAGTAGGGCCCCCAGCCCTGTACCTCCTTGCCTACAGATACTGCCCCTTCCCTTCCTGAAGCTTCGGGCCAGGACAGATTGCGCCAGCACCAGAAGAGGAAGGCTGCTTTCCGGCAGTCTAACTGGAGTCCAGGAGGTGCCTCTCCATCCAGAAAAGGCCCCATGTTCATGGATTATCTCTTGCCACATGGGGGAATTGTCGCAGCTGATCTGGTGGGTCTTGGGTGTGCATTTGGCTTAATCAAACTAAATGAATTACCCCCCCCCCCAAATACCCTATCTGTATATAACATGCCTTCACACTCTCTCGCTCTCTCTTTCCCCAGCCTCCCACCCCACCCCACCCCACCGTGGGGTGGCTGGGAAAGGAAAGGGAAGGAATTTAAACATGCCACCTCTCTGTCTGTCCTTCCCCAGACTCCCGGCTGTGGAAAGAAAGTCAGAGAGATAAGGCAAGTTAAGATGCCTTCCCTTTCCTTCCAGCATTAAACTGGTCTGTTTCACTCCCCTCCCTTCCAAGTCCAGGGGAGTGAAACTGACCAGTTCAATGGCTGGAAGGGAAGGCCTTCTCTCTCTCTCTCTCTCTCTCCTTCCCCAGCCTCCCCCCCCCGCAGTGGGGTGCCTGGGGGAAGAAAGGGAAGGCATGTTTAAATGCCTTCTCTCTCTCTCTCTCTCTCCAGCTGTTAGGTTTAAATGGCCTAAACCTAACAGACAACTGGCAGGGAGGGAAACTGACCAGTGGAAGTGGCTGCTGGCTGGGGGAGAGACGGGAAAGCATTTCAACATGGCTTCTCACTCTCCCTTCCCTCCCAGTGGGTATATCAGACCTGAATATATTCGGAAATACCGAATATTTTCCGACTCTGAATACTATACCGGTATTGGTACTGGGAAATTTGGTATTCACCAAAAAAAATTGGGTCTGAATAGGAAAAACACTGAATCTTTTTTTCTTGCACACCTCTAAGCCTTCAGATAATACACCCCCCCCCCGAATGATTGGCGGTGGGTCTTGAGTTTCTACTGTTTCAAGCGCTTCTTCTCAGAATAAGAGAGACTCAGTGAATGCCCAACCTGTGCCTGTTCCCTGCCTCTTGATAAAGAGAAGGGGGGAGGGGGGGGAGAAGAGAAGATTTAAAAAACCCTTTGCTTTGTGCCAGCTGTGACAATCCTATGCTGTTCTGCTGGCTTGTGACTGGGTTCGAAAACAAGGGGAAATAAAATCCTTTGCCACAGAATTCAAACCCTTTATCCCTTGGCTCCTAAGCTTAGTCACCTTAGTGGTGGTGGGGGGCACTATAAATACTTACAACTTCCTGCTTTATGAATTGGCACCGAATCCCACTCTGGAGGAGGAGAGTCCTTTTCCCCTTCTGAGCTGCTGGTATTTCCCAGCTCCTGACCGCAGCCACTAGAGAAAAACTTTGCCAGTGAAGATGGCCTGCTGTCCATCAGCTTTGTACTGATACCTACAGGGAACAAACAAACAAGGGCACATGTGGCACACCGGCTGGTAAGGCAAGAGCTCTTCAGACTCACAAACAAAGCCATTAAGGAAGGACCGAGGAAAACAAAGTTTCAGAACTCTGGCTCAACCAACACCAGACTTACTAAAACATACCTTTCGCTTTCTGAAGGTTTCTTGGCTTGAACCCATTTGCTAACATATGCCGGGCAGCCAGCTTAGTTGAAAAGCTTTTGTGCTGTTTATTTTCCAGCAAGGGAGGACACGGTATCTCACAGGAACTAAAATAAAAGTATAAATACGTACGACAGAGTTATTCTTTATAGCAACCTGACCACTGAGAGAACATCTTGAGTATATCAAGCACATGGCAGATCAACAGCAGTCCCTGTCCTTCCAGATCTGATTTCCTCAGCTTTAATTCAGAGTGTCCAAACAAAGCAAATGGAGAAGAGCCTGGCTTGGATCGTTGTTTCTCTCTCATAGCTACGAGAGAGAGGAGAGAGAGAGAGAGAGAGAGAGAGAGAGAGAGAGAGAGAGAGAGACACTTCTACAATCCTGCATACTTCTCCATAATTCACTACCTCCTTTATCTTCATCTCATACAAACCATCACTTTTTACAGCACCTAAGTGGCACCATTTCACTCCCAGTGTGGTGTAGTGGTTAAGAGCGGCGGACTCGAATCTGGAGAACCGGGTTTGATCCCCCACTCCTCTCCCACACAAAGCCTGCTGGGTGACTTTGGGCCAGTCACAGAATTCTCTCAGCCCCACCTACTCACAGCCAGTGTTCATGTGAGCTAGCTCACAGTTTTGAGCCTCTGGCTCACACATTCTTGTCTTAGCTCAGAAAGGATGGCTCCAGAGCAAACTAATTTACGCAGAAGCCAAACCGCTCGCTCACAACTTTGATGCCTCACAAAGCAGAATTTTTGCTCACAAGACTCCACAGCTTAGAGAGAGCATTGCTCACAGGGTGCCTGTTCTGGGGAGAGGAAGGGAAGGTGATTGTAAGCTGCTGAGACTCCTTTGGGTAGTGAAGGGCAGGGTATAAAAACCAACTCTTCTTTTTCTTCCCCTGAGTCTTGCTACAATAGAAGTACAGATGGGTGGCACGCTTCATAGAGGTGACTGACAATCTCAAGTCTGCCTGCTGGTAGCCACCTCAATCCAACATTTAGCTCTGGAGGCTTGAAATTTGGAATTATTTGCTTACTTGGATTTCACATCTGCAGGGACTTCTTTCTTGATAACTGACTTTTTGCTTTTCTGCTTTACTTGTAGCATTTCATTTTCCTGTTTTTCTGGAATTGGTTGTTTTCCCTTTTGCTTTTCTGGCTCCTACAAGCAACAAAACCAAAGAAGAATGGTGAATGAAAAGTTGCATTCCAAAACAGAATTGTAGGCAAGGAGACAACCTGTTTCCCCATTAAGGAGGATGTCACACTGTCTAAAGCAATGATGTTTGCTACAAACTCACTCCATTTGAATACCAGCCAGAAGAGTTCCAAACTAACTTGAGTGAGGCCACCCAATACATCTTGACTGTCATTAACTGTCACTAGAACAAATTTAGCATACAAATGTACAAGTTTCCCTTTTTTAGTGAAACGGATCAGTCAGGAGACCTTTCATAAAGCAATCCTGGCCTGGCAGATTTCAAGTACAGAATGAGCAGAAACCAGAAAAAGGTACAGACCCACAAACCTGCAGGCTGAGAGACTTCAGCATAAACTTCCTCATAACTTTTAGACACACTACTAGCACACCATTCAGAAGACGGAATGGTACAGTCACCTTGTGGAATGTGGTTAACAAGCCACTTACTATGGAATAACAACTAACACACCATTAAAGTACCACGAAAAAGGTCAACTAAATGCCACTGTCAGCACTGTTTCTCAGGATCCCAGGGAGGTCCTGGACAAAGGTCCTATTTTCTCCTTTCATTGGTCTATGCAAAACTTCCCTTTGTAAAACTTTCTACCTCCTTCAGAAGTGCTTCTGTGTCTGGATTGGAGGTTTCCGTGGTTGTTGAAGAACTGTCATCATCCACTAAGGAATCTTTCAGTTCATCTTCTTGCTGTTTTCCCTTTCCTCTTCGCTCCTTTTCTTCCCGTTTCTTCTGGGGCTTAGATTTACGTTGAAATGGTTTCCCTTTCCCTGGAGTGATAAAGGCAGCTTCAAATTAGTAACAGCTATAATTTGTGTCAGATTTAGTGAGGTAAAAAAACATTCTTCCATCACAGTGCTTTTCCTGGGGCAAAATCCACGAGGAATCTCTCCAACAGGATCTAGAGTGAGCCCACAAATGTTGGCTAGTACGCTGCAACAAGCTTGCACAAAAAAGTTTCCTGGTACATTGTGCCTCAAACTTCACTTAATTTTTGCATAATTTTAGCACCTTTTTATACTTCATAGTATTTTCATGTCAGTGGCATCAAACCCATTGGACTTTACTAACTTCATGTTGTGCTCTATAGACACTGGCCACTGATGCACATGCTTTTTTGGGGGGGCTACAAAGTGCTGAAAGGTAACTAAGAGCTGGCCAACTACTACACAATCAAGAAATCCCTTATTAGCCTTAAGCATGTAAATGCCAAATAAATGACACAAAATAATGAAAAGGCTCAGAAGGTACTAAGGATCCATGTCTCGATCAGTTACTCCACAACAAGATACTAGAAATAAGTTTGTCTGTTTTTATTATACCATTTTCCAGATAAAGTCTCAGCCTCATGTACTCTTCAAAATTCCGTAGCACATCTTTGTTAGTTAAGCAGATTTAAAGCCTGAATTTTGAGATTAAATGCTGCAAAATATGCTATTCAGTTAAACATTTCCTAAAACTATTCACAAAGGCTGTGTTCCACAAGAATCAACAAAGTGCTTAAAAACTTTCTGCTTTGAGCTTCTATTGTGAAAAGGGGAAACCAGCAGACAACTTCAGACCCCAAATTTGTTGATAACCTGTTAAAATCATTGGGGGAAAAGGCCTCCTTTAGTGCTGTGCTTTGCCAAGGGACTCTGGCTGATTTTTGTACACCCCGGCTAGTAAAACTAACTATCCAGCGAGATCACCAATCACTGCAAGGCCCATCTAAAACAGCTGCCTCTGAAGACATTGAGACTATCCTTTTCTGTCACAATAAACATTGAAGCTCTGATCTATAAGATCAGAGATGGCCAATTTAAATTTCTCTACATTTGAGCCCTGTATCTATCCTGAGAGATAGGTTAGATGAAAACAGGACAGCTGAAAATCTCCAGCACCAGGAAGACGGCCCAAAAGCTAAAGTGTTAATCACGGAGAGAAGTGATCACTGCAAGAACTTTAGGCTTGTAGACTTGCCTGTATAAGCCAGAGGGCAGGGCTGTGGCAGGCCTTCTGGACACGCACTCATGGGAACTCTTTTGATCTGCCCAGAGCCTCATCTTCTAACAGTGAACCTACCACACATGGGGCATAAGACTTGATACTGGTGTGCCCAAACCTCTGCCCATTGTTTTTAAGTGTCTTCATTTCACTACAAAAGAAGACCAGCTGAAAGAAGCACAGACATTCCCCAAGACTTCCCTAAAGTTGTGAAATCAGAGACAAGGCTTTCCACAGATGAAATTACTGAACAGAGAAAAGAATTTGGATTACTGTTCCAAAATATCCAACAACACAATGTATTTGGTATAACAATTAAGATGAGGTAATTTGAGACACCAAAGCCTGCAGGCAAGTATTTGAGGCTACCCAGAGAACACTCAGGACAATGGAACCCCCAGGGCTTAACAGAGATATTGGCTTCTTATCTCACTATAACACTAAGTCATTCTGTTCTTACTTATACCCAGAAATTAAACTTTGTTAAGTCTTACATAGGCCACTGGACTCAAACTTGGTTCTCATATTTGTTGTTAACTCCTTTATTATATCTATGTGCCAACTTGCTGCTATTTACATGTCCTACTATATGTGCTATTCCAATCTTAGCTATATTTATTGCTCAGTTACTTGACTCTAATCAGCTCTTTCTGGCAACAACCCCTCCACCTGCAGTAATATTGGAGGAAATCTGTTTCAATGTATGTGAAGAAGTGTACACTTGCGGAGTCTCTGTTCTCCCATGTACACAGGGTTGAGCTTGGTTTGTCTTGGGGATACTGCTGGACTCTAGATTCATTCTCATATATTTTTGTTAACTCTGCACATGCATCTTGGCTCTGAGTGGCCCCTCGCAATGGCTGCCCCCCACCATCTTTTTTTCCGGTAAATGTCCCTTGAAGAGATTTTATGCCATTTGTCTGAAGTGTGCTTTGCACATGAAAACTTAGACTTTGAATAAAACTGTTGTTCTTAAAGGTGCCACTGGATTCAGACTTTGTTCTGCCACCCCCTTCTCCACCCTTTGTGTTTGAAATCAGCTGCCAACTACCGACAGATCTCCATAATACTCTGGCAAAAGCTTTGTATCTGCTTCTGCTGAGAAGGCTTGTGTAATTCTCTTCAGAACAGGTTGCCTTGTGCAGCTAACAAGCAACATTCCAACATACCTGTGTTTTGCTGTTTTGTTTTTCCCCCCCCCCCCCCCCGGAATATACAATAGACTCTAGCAGCACTCTTTTTGCCCAATCTTGAGGACTATTTTTATTAGTTCTGGTTTCCTTGGAAGTGTTATTTGGTTCCTTTATATCCTGCCTTTTTTTTCACAGTAGAGACCCAAAGCAGCTTACACAATTCTCCTCTCCTCCATGTTATTATCACAACAAACCTGTGAGGTAGGTTCGGCTGAAAGTGTATGACCCTGGTCTCCGAGCAATCTTCCATGGAAGAGTGGGTACTCAGACCCAGGTCTCCTTGGTTATTTCAGATTACTCCATTAAGTCTCTCCCGCATGCCACTGAACCACCACAGTACCCCACTGCTGAAGGACCACATTTCTTTTGAACTTTAAATCATATCCCAAATATTAGATCTAAAGTTTCAGAGCAAATGTGAAGTTGTTTTGCTTTCTTTTAGGCGCCTCCAGTCAACCACACTGCCTGAGGGACAGGGGTGCCCCCTCTCACCCCTTCTGTTCATTTTTGGACTAGAATCACTAACGGAAATGGTGAGAAGTGATAAAAATATCCTGGGACTTAAAGTTAAAAAGGAACAATATAAATTGCAAGCTTTCGCCGACAATCTGGTCTTTATAATGGAAGAACCAATGATATCTGTTACACATTTAATGAAACAAATACAAGAATACGGGGAAATAGCAGGTCTAAAGATTAATATCAAGAAAACGAAGATCTTGACAAAAAATTGTGACAGGAAGGAAATAAACAAGATACAACAAATTACAAATATGGAGGTAGTGAATAAAGTAAAATACCTAGGAATTACGATAACAAATAAAAACATTCAACTATACGATAATAACTATAAAGTCCTATTAGAAGAGATTAAGAGAGATTTGTTGAAGTGGCAAGAGTTACACATCTCGTTTATGGGCCGAATTGCCACGATAAAGATGTCTATCTTACCACGCTTTTTGTTCTTGGCACAAACTATTCCAATTCTGAAAAACAATAAACTTTTTGAAGAACTAGATCAAATAACAAGAAAATTTATTTGGCAAGCTAAAAGACCAAGGATCAAACTAAAACTACTAAGAGATAAAAAAGAAAGAGGTGGGCTAGGCATTCCGGACTGGCAACTCTATTATAACGCTGCAGCTATGGGATGGATAAGGGATTGGATACTATTAAAAAACGAAAGACTCCTAAAACTCGAAGGTCATGACCTATACATGGGCTGGCATGCCTATGTATGGTATGACAAAGAGCAGATACAAAAACACTTCCACAATCATATATTTCGAGGCGCACTAATTAAAACTTGGAGAAATATAAAAGGAAAGTTTTACAATAAGATCCCAGGATGGGTCGCATCATTGGAAGCCTTTATCCTGCCGAATCTACTAAGTGAAGATAAGAAAGTCAGTTATGAAGTACTATTAATGAAAGAAAAAGAACTAAAATCCTTCGAGACTTTACAAGAACTAAACATCAATTTAACAATCTGGGAAAAGAACCAGTTAAAATCCAGGTTTGCTAAAGACAAAAATAGAGGCTTTGAAACACTAAAGACAGAATTAGACAAAATCTGGCTCTCAACATCAGATAAATTAATACAAAAACTGTATAACTTTCTACTAAAGGAAGAGACGAAGGATGAAACTATAAAACCAAGCATGAAGACCTGGATGAGAGACTTCGGCCAGGAAATAAGTATAGAAAAGTGGTCCAAAGCTTGGAAGTCAATAAAATTGCTAAAGGCTACTTCGTACAAAGAAAATATCTTTAAAATGCATTATTGATGGCATTGGTCGCCAGACAAAGTAGCAAAATGCTATAAAAAGGCTTCGGGAAACTGTTGGAGATGTAAAAAAAAATGTGGGCTCTTACTTTCACGTATGGTGGAGATGTGAGAAGGTAGTAAAATTTTGGAGAAGAGTACATAAGTTAATAACAGAAATTGTAGAAATAGATTTGAAGTTGGACCCAGAAGTATACTTACTTAATATCCTTCCAGAAGGGATTAAATTTAACGATACATGTGTGATATTGTATATTCTTACTAGCTCTAGAATTCTCTTAGCAAAATGCTGGAAATCGGAACAAATACCAAGTAGAGAGGAGTTAATTACTAGAATTATGGAAATAAGAGAGATGGACAAATTAAATATGATACTGTTGGCAAAAGACGAAATTTTGTTCAAAAAAAGATGGCAAAAACTAGATAAATGGTTTGAAACAAATGTCTAAAGAATCTCCAGAAAATAATATGTATTAACTATTGTATACTTGTACTGTAAAAACTTGAAAATAAATGTTGTTTTTTTTTAAAAAAACCACACTGCCTGAGGGCATCAGTTCAGGCAGGTGCCCACCAGAGGCCACTCTGCCATCATGGCATTGCCTGGCATACCCCTCCTTTCTCAATGCCACTCAGCAAAAGATCTTTAAACTGCTCACGGCTGCCTTCTTGCACCTTTGACCACAGGTGGCCACTACAGCAGATTTGGACATACCTAAAAAATCTATGCTGCATGACACTGTATTTTCCCCAGATACATCAGGTTGGATTGAACGATGTGGTCTGGGAGTTCTGTACTTCCCAGGTGTGCATGGGCCCGATTCAGACTAGGACCACTAAGTGCACAAGAAGCAAGGGCTTACACCTCCCCCTCATGGTTTTCCTGACCTGAAACAGCCCCATGGAGTGACTATTTGTCCTTGACATGGAGTTCCTCAGTACCCAATAAGTTTCCCCAGTAAGGCAAACCATTGCTCCCTGGAGCCATTTGCAACTGGGGAAATGACACCTGGGTTGGTCTAAGCCCCTTCTCCCCACTGTCCTGAGCTGAATTAGGCCTTCATGTATCTGGGAAACACACAGCCCCCTCTGCCAACCTGACCATGAGACATACCCAGAAAAAAGGCATTGTGTATAGTTAGGCCCTAAGTGATCAGGTTGCCAGACCTCCCGCTATGGCAGAAGGCCTCCCACAGGTAGTACCTGTTGCTGGCTGCCACTCTGAGAAAAACTGCTGCCAGTCTCTGCACAAGCGCGCGTCACGGAAATGACAATGGGTAGCTCTAGGAGAGGGTAGGTGCCGATGAGTCCTAGAGCCACCGATTGTCACTTCTGGGTTGTACCTGGAAGTGATGAAGTGATGTCACTGACATCACCCCTCCCCATCCTTCCCATTGGTTGCTCAGTTCGGCCCAGCAACCCTACTAAGTAAAGAAGCAGGACTGAACACACTGACCAGGACCAAACCTGAAGTGATTTACTGCATATGTTGAAGGAATCCAGGTGAACCTGCTTCCCCAATCAACACACAACAAGAAGTAGGGCATTTTCGCTAGTCTGACGGTCACAAGAATAGATTCCCTGTATACCTCTACCCTCTTTGCAAACAGATGTGGACAAAACACTCCCAAGTTACAGTTCTTGCAAACAGATGTGGACAAACCACTCCCAAGTTACAGTTCCTTTCAGGAACATTTCCTGATTCATTCTGTAAAGTAAGACATGATCCTCTGGCACAGAATTGTTGATTAGGCTTAACAAGAGTCGCACTGCTTGCAGAAATTAGTCTAAACCCATCCACATGAAAACACTTTAACAATATTGTTCCATCTGAACTTTTTTCTCCAAGTCCTCTCTAATCACATTTACTTTATGATGTACATTTTAGAAGCCGTTGCGACTGCAGCATCAAAAATAAAAGTAGCAACCACTTGTATTGTATTCTTGTATGCAAGAAACACTGAAGCACTTTGCAGCAAACATGACTGCCGCATAAAGCACAGCCTGCACCAACCTTCTGAGGCAGACAATCCTGAAAATGAAAGACCAGAAGTGTCCCCCCCACTACTTTGCATAAAAGCTAGCTGACACTTATCTCCCAACTTCATCAAGCAGCCAAGATTATTAGTGCCAAAGAAAAGATGCATATTAATTCGGAAAGTCTTAGTGAAATATGTATTCTGTAGAATTTTGTTCATCTATGCACATCTAAGAATGGTACAAAAGGAAAGATCTGATTAGAGAGGTGAAAGAGGAAGTGGATGTTCACTGAGCAACTGCAGCTTTATAGGCACACTTACATTTCTCCGAAAGAGAGAATTCATTGAGTAAAGCAGGAGTTTATTATTACCTTTATTTTTTGCTACTGGAGATGGGGGCTGCTCTGTAAACACATCTGGGGAAGGGGATTCTGGGTGATCAAAGTCTTTGTCCATGGTTTCTATAAGACCAGCAAGGTCAGAGTCCTCTGAGCTGTGCCTTGTGTTGCTGACACACTCTGAATGTGAAGGGCTGGGAAGCTGCAACTGTGTCAGGGGATTTTCAGTCTGCTGATCTTGTGGCTGAGGCACTGTTGGTGGCGGTGGTGACTGTTGCTCTAGTAAGACTGGAGCATGCTGCTGGTTTGATTGCTGACTTTGCTTTGCCCCCCTGGATTTCCTGCTTGCTGCATGATTCTGAGTTGCAGCACTGGAGTCCAGGAAGAGGGAACCTGCTCTGTTCACTGACTGCGCAGATCCTGTCTGCGTGGAAGTCCTGCTAGCAACATTGGGACTGTTTTTAAACTTCACAGTCTCGGCCTCAACTGAATTTCTATTGCTGTGTAGGTTTGCTGTTGAATTGCATTGCTTATGGCTCCCTGCATTGGATCGTGATGAGGAACTGCCTGGTCCATAGATTCCTCTGGAGGAGCTGTGGTTAGAATCTGATCCAAGTGCATTCAAGCTGGAAGGAAAAAAAGTAGGTTTAGATGGCTTGTCGGGCAAATCCTTAGCAAGATGGGAGCTATGCCTTTAAGCAGAAATTAAAACTTACTTTACAGAGATAGTAAGAGCTGATTTAAACAGACAATGGATTTAAAGGTGGCATTAACCCTGTATACTAGCTTCAAGAGACAAAAAGTTTATTTTTCTAAAGAATGATGGAATGGGCCTACCAGAACCTGCCCTCAAAGAATTATTACACAGACGAGACAAACAAAATTCATATTCAGCCCAATTTTCAAATACTTTGTGAAGTTACATACACTCTACCATTCCATGCCATCATCCTTCCCAGATCCACTTTCTCCCTTTATAACCCATTCTTCATTAATGCATTCTTCTGTGTAACCTCAGCTATTCCACCTATTTAGGATTATGTAGTAGTTTTCCTGAAGTTCTAAGAGTTACTTCTGTATATTACTTTTTAAGCCCTAAAACACAGACACTTAAGTAGAACGCACATGCAAACTATGCCTAAGGATGGCAAGTTTATGCACAAGCTGAAGCTTTTCCTGGCAGGAACTGAGATTTACTTGCATGTAAACCATTTGCCAATTTTACCCTTACATATTTCGTACTGAAACTGCTTCACAGTACAAAATCCAACATATATGAAGCAGCAATATTTGGCAGGATATTGGATATATACTGCGATACCCTTTTGGGAGGAAGGGACTTCTGCTTGAAATTTATGTTCTGCTTTTCAGCAACTAAATCTGTCATATTTTTCAAGATAATACAGCCTGAATGGCCATTTTGCATCAATTTTTTGCGTATTTAAATCCCACGGGACATTTTTCCTGCACTTGCACTCTGCTTAAATTACTATGACATCAGCTGCTTCCTTTATTAAACTGACCTATACTGGTGGGAATGGCTACTTTGAAAACACCCAGTTCACAAGCAAGGGCTTACTTTCCATCAGATGAAATTCCAACTATTCTCCTGAGATCAAATGGCCTTCCCATATCAAAGGGAGGATTAGATGCCTCAGAGAACAGTTGCCTTCTGAATGGCTCCCAAATTCCTTGAGCTTCTAGATAGGCTGTTCCGATGACTAAAAGGAAGAGCGCACTGCAAGAGACAAGACAAATATCAGTGGTTTTGCAGTCTTAAGTGTTGAAAATAAAAGGAAGCCCATCACTTGCTGGCTAACCAAGAGTAGCAACACTCCGCCCTCATCCCAAGTACAGTTGACCTGTACACTATTAATATGTGCATATGCACCTATTACTGGATGCGCAGTTAAAACCGAAAAGCAAGCTTTAACACTGGCTCTCAGGAACAAGATTAAAACAGTAAACAAGACTATGTAACTTGTCAGCTGTTGGGCCTTGGGCAGTGGCAAGCTGCCATGAAAGCTGAATTCCCAAGTCAGGGGACTCCCAGCAGAGAAAGGTTTAATCAGTCAGCAAGTAGTACACAAATTTAGGATCGGTTTCTCCTAGGAGTTTCCCAGTCAACTAGGTCTGCTGAAATTGGATATGCAGCAAGAAACTGGATCTCCTATAACCTTGTCCCAACTCCTCCCTAACTCATTTGTAGACAGTTCTTAAAGTAATCAGATGCTTGCCTTCTCACCCTGAAGATCACTTACTAGCAGGTCTCCTTGCTTGGCACATGGCTTTGCACCAGGAGTTAACACCGCAAAATCTATCGCTTTTTTATCCTGCTCTTCCTCTAAGGAGCTCAGGGTGGCAGACTTAATATCAATACCGTAACTGTAAAAGAACTGTTGTGGACATGAGGCTTCAGAGCTCTTCACGACTAAGACCACCAGGGTTGATGGCTGGACAAGAGGGACCAATGAGTTCATTCAGGCATTTATCCGTACTTTTATCCCTACTGTCTCCCATTGACTGCTGGTTTCCACTGTTCCTCTGAGGTATAAGTAAACTCCCAGCACATGTGGATGGATACACAAACACACACGCTTACAGTTTTCCAGGGAGTGCTGGTCTAGCATTTGAACTGCCTGGTTCAGCATTGGTCATAGACATTCCTGACAACATGAGCTTCTGGACATCACAATTATTAGTGCCACACCAAAAGGAACACCCCCATGCCCAAACAGTAATATGAAATCTCGTGTCTAACAGAAAACAGCATATTTCCTCGTGTTTCATTTGTGGCCTAGTAACGGTGTTTCATGCAGATATGAGACAGAAGTACCTCATTATTCCTGAGACAATTATGTACAGTGCCAGCTCCCAGTTGGGCCTGGGCAGGGCTTCTGCACAAGTTGCTAACATATGATAGGGAAGGGATGCATTTAAGATGAATACAAATTCAGAGCCTCCTGATGTAGTTAACTTCAGTTCACGAATGACTCTGGAAGTAGTGAAATCTGGTGTAAACCTGTAAAGTGAAGGAGAATAGGTACATTCTTTAACTAGTGTACCACTGACTCAGGTGTTCAGCTTATGCAATAGTAACCATAGGGTTCATTATCACCCCCATCTTATCCTCCACAGGTGAACAACAAATTATTTAGTTATTAAATTTCTAGATCACCCTCCCCTGTACATCAAAACAAGACACAATAATAAATTAAATACACAAATTAAAAGGAATAAAATACAGCAGATAAGTTTGGGGTTTTACTTCTTTTACTGTGTACTGGTCAATGACTATAATAAATTTACTTACTTACAGCAGATGCAACAATTAGCCTAATTAGATGGCGCTTGGCAACTTCAAATTGTGCCGCTGCTCCATGGGGAGAGACGAGAAGCAGGAGTGACAGAACAGGCGTGCCAGACCAGATGGAAGCCGTCGCTGCCCTCAACCCAACGCCTGGCGGGACATCTCTGCCTTACGGGCCCTGCAGAACTGCATTAAGTCCCACAGGGCCCAAAATGCCTTGGCTCTGGTTGAGGACAGCCGGATGTCTCTCGGGCCAGGGATCACCAATAAGTTCTTATCTGCAGAGTGCAGTGCTCTTCGGGGGGGGGGGGTATACCAGGAGAGGTGCTCCCAAAGATACGTGGGTCCCAGACCGCTCGGGGCCTTAAAGGTTAGCACCAAAACCTTGAACCTGATCCGGTACTCCACCTAGAGTATTGCCTTTATTGCCGCTGTGTAATGAGGATTTCATGTGCCTTTTTTGCCACTGCTTACCTTGATTCTTTTAAAACTAATTGCTGCTACATTTTTCTATACTTCAGGTTTTCTCTACTGCTGTTTATTAATCTTAATGGTGATGACCACCTATTTACACATTGTTTTGACACTGTTTTTACTGAATTTGTTGCGACAGGGTCCAAGCTTCAGAACGGGCCTGAAGACAAATTTATGTTTTCTACTGACTTGGAAAATAAACCATATTATTTTCACCCATGAGGAATCAGGTCATTGTGTGCGTTCACCTGCCGCTAGTTTAAACTAATACTGTAGTTATATGACAATGGGAAGACACAGACGTGGGTATGAACAACTAACATTGTTTAGTATTTTATTTGACATTAAGTGATATGACGATTCCACTCATAGTCATCAATTTATGAAATTTTGTTGAAACGGGCACACCATGCCTGATGGTACAAACAAACGTATGAACAAACCTACAGTATCAAGGTAGCACCCTCCAGTGTCGCAACAACCAGCGCTGTTGGGAAATTCATGTTGAGATGCAAAAGCCAAATCAGATTTGACAGTCACTTATTCAAACACTGCAAATAAATACTTACCTTTACTCTTGGCTGCCTACAAAAAATGTTTGTGGGTAGAGTAGGCTGAAGAGTACATAATAAATTAGTGGACATGGTGCTTGGAGTTTTGTGATCAGAATTTCATGCTTCTTTTAAAAATGCAGTTATCACATGGGTGGAGGCATTCTGATTTGGACCCCACTGCATGGATGCACGAAAAGCGAGTTTTAATCCTTCACCCCGGGGCCTTTTCATTACCTGAAACCAGTCGCTGTCCAGTGAAAATGGCAATGGAGAAGACTTAAGACTCCCACCCCTACACAATGTGGACCTGATCAGAATCAAGCCCTCATGCCCCTAATAACTGTATTTTCAATCATGGAACTCGCAGCAGGTCTCCTAGTTCAGCCTTAAATGACAAACTACCTTTGGATACAGAGCTTCCGTTTAACCATTATGCTTAGCAGCTGTTGACAAGAGCAGGACTTCATGACTTTTGTTCCTCACTGGGTTAGCATAATGATTGCCATTTACATAATCTGTACTAACAATTTTACACATTTCCTTTTTTAGATGAAGGTTACTTTCTAATATTTAAGCCACCTGAGCAGGGCTCTGCAGAGGTAGCATATAAATTTCCTAAACAATTGTTTAATATAATTATGGAAATAGGCATTCTAACCCCACCTCCCGGCATAAGTTAAAAAGGTGTCCATCTTTAACATAAGCAAACTTACAGTATGACAATGTCTTTAGAGGCATTGGCGCTTAGTGCAAATTCTTGACAGTTAACTACTTTAAATCCATATCCTTCACATAAATATCCACTGATTTCCATGGATTTTATGTTAACTTGAAGCTGCCCTGTGTTCTCCACTCTGAATGTCCTTTTCAAGGTAAAATTTGGTTCCTTTAATTTAGTTTCTGAAACAAAAGAATTCAGATTAGAGTCTGATAATGCAATATGTTAGTTTAATAAGGACAGGCATCAGCACAACTCCAATAGTTCTTCAAAAATCTACTCTGGTTTCCCTCTCACTCGCTCCCTCCTCAGGCCCATGCAATAATTCATACATAATAGATCTTGTTGGAGTGAAAGTAACTTATTTAATTACATTGCTATTCTGCCTTATCTCTTCAGATTCAAGACAGCTAATCATGCAACAGGAGGTTGCAAAGACAAAGTGTAATAGTCCCATCATCAAGGTCAAAATGCACAGATTAAAAACAGATTCCCCCCCCCCCCAAATATACAGGTCAAAAACACAGAGAATTTTTTAAAAAATAAACCAACAATAATGCGGCCAAATCTGCCTCACCCTCCACCCCATGGTTTCTGGAATAAAACTCTCTCACATGCCGTCTTAGTGTAGCGAGTGAAGGCACCCACCCTCTGCATCCCCCTCTTTCACACTCACTTTCAGTACAATCTTTTAGTAAGGCTTCAGTGATTTTGAAGCGCAATGAGCTTCCTGGGCCAGGTGGCTTCCCTGCAACTTTCAAGCTCTCGGTTGTTCCTTGTCCTTTAACCATTATAGCATCTATCACAGTCAAATTATTTCTGTAGGGGGGGAAAAAATCAAAGAACTATTACTAAATGAATGAGCATATTCATGTTTCTAACAATTCGACAATGCTAAATTGTAATGTGCCTCACTCGTCTATGCTTAGTTTTGAAGAGACGGCTTTCATTCTAGCATTTCAACTGATGTGACTGAGCTCCTAAGTAAAGTGTAAGTCAAACAATTTCAGAGGCATACTGTACCTGACAATTATTAGTGACGATACGGTTTTATTAAGAACTGGAGTAAATTTGACTCTGACAAATTTCTTCTCACCAGGCTTTAAAATCACATTTAAAACCAGCTGCCGTGACAATCCCTCTGCATATCCTGTGGAGCTCTGCAAAGTCTGGCCCTTAACCAAGGAACACAACATTTTAAAGTGAGTAAGCTTGTTTAACTTTCCCATCACAACATTTATGGATAGCTTAAATGCTGTATATTTAAAGGTGTTATACTTTTCCTCAACTGACTGAAGCAAAGCAATGCTTCCCTGTACTGGGCGCTTTTACAGAGTAACAAACAAGACAGAACCCTCCCCCAAGGAGCTTACAATCCGAATTTAGATACCGAGAGGAAAATGAAATTCCATTAACTGGAGGCATGAGCAATTAATGGTGTGAATCTATGCACTTCTTGGGTACATTAAGGTGAACACACATGAAGCTGCCTTGTATTGAATCAGACCAATGGTCATCAAGGTCAGTACTATCTACTCAAACTGACAGCATTTCTCCTCAGACTCAGGCAGAGGTCTTTCACATCACCTACTGCCCGGTCCTTTTCAACTGGAGATGCCGGGGATTGAACCTGGGACCTTCTGTATGCCAAGCACATGCTCTACTACTGAGCCACAGCCCCTCCCCAAGGTGTTTTAAGTGCGTTCCTAAAAAAAATGTGATTAAGGAGCAATGTTCCCTCTAAGCTGAGATAGTGTGAGCTAGCTCACCGTTTTTTAGCTTCCAGCTCATGCATTTTTTGTCTTAGCTCAGGAAGGATGGCTCCAGAGCAAACTAATTTATGCATCAGCCAAATCGCTCACTCACTGCTTTAATGCCAGTAGCTCACAAATTTTTGCTCACAAGACTCCGCAGCTTAGAGGGAGCATTGCTAAGGAGTTATGATAGCAGATACATGTTACAGTACTTCTCTGGGAGCTAGTAGTGGTAGGTGCACTTGGCTACCTCAGAATGTGCACATTTCCCTGTGCCCAGGCTACTTTGTATACTGCAAGTTTATTTATACCTTTAATACCTTACTACAGTCAATGGCCAGCAGTATATGCATGCTACAGATGGAGGTGGGGGAGAGAAGCTGAGACCTTGTGACCTGCCTCAGGCTATTCAGAGAGTTTACAGACACAAGTCAATGCTTTCAACTTACTATACTACATCGGCTCCACATTAAGATCTGGATAAAACAAAACTAGGTTGATAAAAAGTTACTTACACAGTTTCTAGAGACTTGAAATTCTAGTGTCCTCAGATCGAAACTTGCTGGCTTACTCAAATTGAACCTGAAAATAACAACAAACATTAGTAAGGCCTAGTTGTGAATTTTGGAAATACCATGCATCAATATTTTGATTAATATTCTGTAGAACTACCTTGCTGGGTTAAAAAAATCACAGGCTTTTTTGTCAGCACGGAATACAGCTATTACAAAAGCTAAGTGTAATATCATATAATGTATAATAGTAGTAGTATAATAAATGGATGCTTGCAAAGCTGGTCTTTCAGCCAGACATTCCAAACAAAAAACATTTAAACCTAAGGCTGAAACTAGAAAGAACAGTGGCAGAACCATCTTTCAGCTGCAGAAGGTGGTGGTGGTGGTTTAAGATTTGAGAGCAATGGGGAAATGAAGTGACCCATCCCTCCCATGAAACCTGTTTCTTTGAGATGCTTTTCTCACCACGGGTCTCCAGAACCAGAAGTGAGCCCAGCCAGAGAACAAGTGTGGAGAGAGGCAAGAGATTCAATGCCATTTGGGCATGTGCCAGTTTTTCCTTTACATCTTCCCCACCTACACACTTGTCTTGCACATGACTGGGGCAGACCCCTCAAATCAACTTCAGGGCCTACGCCCTCCACATATTGTTCATCCACAGACACAGCCTCTTTTTGCATCCATTCAAGGTCTCATCTCTCTGATGCAGCTGATTAGGCTGCTTTCATGGATTTTAAAAGCAGCATGGATTTTTGGCAGCCAATTCGTGGAAGTCTTTGTACTGTGACCACCACTTACCTGTCTATTAGCTTATCGACAAAGACTGATGGGTTGGAATACAGTGCTATGGGAAGAAACTGAACAAAAACAGGAAGATCTGATGGATTTTCTAGAAGAATTTCTTCCTCCTAGAGGAACAAAATTAAATTGAGATGTAATATTCCAGTGTAGGAAATTTTTCCAGCCTTTTGTTAGTACTGCGTTAACATGAGCAAGACTTACAGACGAACTGTTTGTGTTGGTAAGGGAGAAATCCAAATAGCGCGTTGAACCAATTAAGGAGGGCCAGACCAATTCTGCTGTGATTTTGGATGCCACAGCCTTCTGTAGATCAGTGTCTACTTCAAACACAGCACTTAATCTAGATGAATGACATAATTCAGCATAAAAAAAACCTTGGAAAATATTTCATGCATACAGAAATTATAGACAGTCATCTTCAACACTCAATGAAACATTCATTTAAAAAAATTCTTTCATCTCCATATTCTGCATGTGGTTGATCTGTGAAGACTGACAGGTGGGAGAGCCACAACTAACACCAAAAGAAAATGGGGTTTTGCCAATTGCCAAACGTATACATGCTTAAATCACTTTCTAAAGTAATCCGAGTATCTGAAGGATGCTGCATCAGTTCATGTTTTCAGGGAAATTAAATGTCTTAAGGTGATGCCTTAGACAGTTTTTACGCCTTAGTTTTTTGTCTATATTGTTTTCCAGTTCTATAGTTTTAGTGCATTGCTTATTGGAGGTCTTGCTGTGGGTTTGAATTGATCTTTATTTTTTGTAATCTGCTTTGAGCCTCAGCGAGAAAAGACATACTATAAATGAAGTAAATGACATTTAAGGACATTGTTCAGGCTCCAGACCTAGTTGAGAAAGAATCAACAAGAGTCTTCTTGGAATTCAGACACAGAGGTCATCAGGCCAAGTAAAAGTTGTTACTCATGTGATCAGTTTGCAGAAACCACGATGTCATGTGTAGGCAGAGTCACCACCACTAATAACTGCCTTTCCTGTCATACTGAACCAGTGCTCTAGATGCTTCTACAAAATGGTGTCCATACCCTACACAACCTTCAAAAAGTGATCCAGAATTCAATGACCATAAGCCCAATATACATATATGGAAGTATTTACAATATCTCCTCAGTGCACCAAAATCCAGTTTGTTTAAACACACAAGAGCTTACTTCTCGTAATACCATGAACAATTTTAAGAAGAAGGTGCCTTGGGCCACCACCAACTCATGGTGTCCCCATCCATGGGACGTTCCAGGCACGAGATGAGCATAGGTGGTTTGCCACTGCTTTCCTCCACGTAGTAGCCCCAGTCTTCCCTGGGGGTCTCCCATCCAAGTACTGACCATGGCTGACCCTGCTGAGCTCTCAAGTCCAAGGAGCTTGGGCCAAACTGGGCCAGTCAGGCTGCTGAACAATTTTAAAGAAGAATACAAATGTTTCCCCTCAGCCATGAGGGCAATTTGCAGTAAACTAAGGTTTTTCCTTCAGTTGCCACAGTTGCACCCCAAGTTCTTTTGTCACTAATCTCATTTGGGGAGCTTATGAATTCCTCCATTGCCTACTCTTAGAACATAGATCCAAGTGGGTAGCCATTTTGGTCTGAAGCAGCAGAACAAAGTTTGAGTCCAGTGGCACCTGTAAGACCGACAAAGTTTTATTCAATTTTATTCAATTTTTTATTGAATAAAACTTTGTTGGTCTTAAAGGTACCACTGGACTCAAACTTTATTCTACTCTTAGAACAGTTTCTCTTTCTATGTTTGCCCACCACTTGTAATCAAGTACTACAGATTTACTATTTTAAACAAGCCCAGTGGCAACAACAAAAAAAAAAATTAGGACTGAAAATGTACTCACTGATGGCCTGAGTGATCTCTTATTCCAATCCATTCTTTGAATAAACTCTCATGCAAATCCCAATCTGAATCCCATGCGTCTTCTTGCATAGACATACTATGTTGCAATTTTGATTCAGCTAGAAAAGAGACAGTCATTTTCAATACTTAGACTACCCAAAAAGCTAAACACCAGAAATTAAAAATACTTACATTTACTCAGAAAAGGCAATCCGACATAGCAGTGATTCCCACACTGTAAACCAGGGTCAAAATACACATTTGCTATCTGAAAAATAGTACAACACAAATTGAATTAAACAAAACTTTCTTAGGACTGCAAAAAATTGTGAGATTTATATACTCAAGAAGAACTGTTTAATAATGGGTAAATTCCAAGCTCAAACCTTGGATTTTTTCCCTGGCTCCAAATCTTCCTTGTTACTTCTTAATCTCTTGTAATAAAACCGGACATCTTCAGAGAGCGAACGGATCTGTTGTATTTTCACTTTTTGCGAGAAAGAGCTCATGATACTTAAACTCTGATGAACTGTCTTGCTCTAAAGGAAAAAGAGGGAATATTGCATTGCTTTCCATATGCATATTTACACCCACAGTGTCCTAGTACTACAGCTGTTAAGTTGCTTTGTGTATAGGAACATCTAGAAAACAATATTTTCTTCCAGTCTTTGTCATTCAGGTCTTTCCAACACAGAAATGTCTGATTATTCAACATATTCTAACCATGATTCAAGCTGAAGAAATATTCATGCAAATGTTGTGTAGTCAACAGGAAAACTTCCTATACTTTTTGTACAAATGCTGGAAAAAGGTGATCGTTGAGCATACTCAGTGCAGGCAGATTATAGCTGGGAACATTTGGAAATCATTTTACTTGTTGTAATTTTTATGCTCTGTGTGACTGGTTGTAACCGCCTTTGACCAAATACAATAAATATGCAAGCAGGGGTAACAGCGGCTTGAGGTGGCATTAATCAGCCATAAAATGATATGAAAGGGGAGTTAAAAGACTCCTCTTCCCCCACACCTTTCTCTCACAAAAAATATAATAAAATCCCCAGTGGCTACATTTGGGGGAGGAACTTTTAAAATAATAAGAGCTACACATCGTATGTGGTTCTTCACTAAGATAGGACTCTGGAAACTAGTGGTCTTGTGACTTAGCGTTGCTTTACAGGCAAAACAGTGGCTTGGATCCAGCTTTGTTTATCATGGCCTTTGCTTGTAGAATGGGTCTTTGCCTCTCTTCCTTACTTGCTATAACCATCTGTGGGGGTGGGTGGGAGAATCCTTGGTATAGAATGAAGTGCAAAAAGCAGCCATAGGAATTCCTATGATTTCCTCCTTCCCACTACAGACCCCTTCATGCCACATGCCATGCCATTCTAGAAGCCCCTGACTCTCAAGAAAGTGAAGGTGGCAAAGATCCATTCCATGAGCAAAAACCACTCAGTTCTTTAGAGCTAAGCCTTTGTTTCCAGTGCAGAAATACTATGGGCTAAAGCCACTCCAGCAAAAGTCATTCATATTCAAGGATACCTTTGTGCTTTGTACTGAACCCATCCACTTTGTTCAACGTCACCTCCCATTGTATCTGAAGTTCACACTATACCAAACCAAGTAAGTGCAGTGTGGGTCACTTGCGCCATCTTTTTCCTCCAACACCTCACAATTACCACAAACTGACTTTATTAATCCAGTACTACAGAAAAACGTGTCTATTGTTTTTCATGACAAAAAAATCCAGTGTGCATAGTTCAATGCTGAAAGTTAAACAGTAATGTTTTAAAGCTTCTAAAATATGTAAGATTCTACATTCAGAATTAGTTTACTTTAAATATCTACTTAAGACTGATGGAACATAGAGAAGAAGAGTGAACAACTGCTGAAGGCTTAGTCTCAGGAAGTATTACTCCTACCCTATGATGCTATCTTGGCCTTGGAACAGGGATACGGTGTATGGCTATGCTAATACTCTATGCAAGACAATACACTTCACTTTTTCCTTCCAATAGAAGCAGTAGATGCTTAAGAATATAATTAAGATGTTTTCTACATTAATGCAGCAAAAACAGGTACCTGACTTGGAAAAGGGCATTATATAAACCTGTTAAACTGTCTCACATAAATATCCTGTTCTGAACATAGCCGACAGAGTTCTTCCATCACAGGATGATACTTAGTATAAAAGAACCATTAGATCCAGGATCCCACTGTTTTACATCTTTGTTAGCAAAAAGGAGTTTAGCAGATATCGAACATGATTAAATTTGTTTTAAGCAACTCCAGAGAATTAATGCAAAACTGTGGATGATCATAGAGCAGAAGCCTTTCATTTCGGAAAGGGGCAATAGCTTTGGAATATCTGATACTATGGAAGCTGTCTTCTAATAAATCAGGCCATTGGTCTATCTGGGTCAATACTGTCTACTCTGACTGGCAGTGGCTTGCCAAGGTCTCAGAGGTCATCTCCATCGCCTCCTAACTGACGTGTTTAACTGAAGGTGCCAGGGACTGAACCCAGGTCCTTCTGCCCACAAAGCAGATGGTCCACCACTGGGTTGTGGCTCCTCCTGATGAGGTAAAAAAATGACTGATACGGGTTTTGATTATTTGTGGCTAAATATTCTTCTGACACAACTTCTTATGAATACATGGAACTAATTTAGATGCTTTCAACTACTCTGATAAGTGGCTCAAAAGTAGCAGTCAAGAAACTATCCTCAATATCCATACCCTGACTTGTTCCACTGAGAATTGCAGGATAATCAATAGAGCAACTAGCCTCCTTAGAAAAAAATAACATGTTTCATTTTTCAGCAGCAGTTGCTCATGAAGTCATGAGACATCTGAAGTGCTTGGCAGAGCTAAAATTTAATAGTTCTAATCTCTAAGACTGATACAATTACTCTTCAGATAAGCCTCAATAACAAACCAACTTTAGGGAATACACAGCAGCTCTGCGCCAAAGGGCTCTTCATGCTACTGCTGGGAAGAGAATAAGAACTCCGGCAGCATTGGCAAAGAACTTGTTAACTGAGTTTGCTCTCTGTCCCTTTTACAGACTATTAAAAAATAATTCAAGAAAATGGCCAGGAATAAGCAAAAAGGAATTGTTAGAAAATATTCCAAATAAATTATCTTACGGGAAAAGAAGGTGGAAGGAAGATATGTTTTGGGGAACAGGTAAGTGAGCCCACAGCAATTACAGCCTTCACAGGAATGGTTAAAATCTGTGGAAAGGGGGGGAAAAAGCAGTTTAGAGGCAACAGTCAAGAGGATTCATCTACAAATTTTAAATCCTGTTTTTGTTGCTAGCAGTACAATTCCTCAAACCTTTTCTGAAGAAGTGTGCATACCCATGAAAACTTATACCCAGAAAAAAACTTTGCAGGTCTTAAAGGTGCCACTGGACTCAAACTTTATTCTTTTTAAAACTCAGTTTTACAAAATGAGTGCTGAAGAAGACGAAGCCAGTTTGGTGTAGTGGTTAAGTGCGCGGACTCTAATCTGGGAGAACCAGGTTTGATTCCTCACTCCTCCACTTGTACCTGGTGATGTGACCTTGGGTCAGTCACAAGCTCCGGCACAGCTGTCCTTGAAAAAGAGCAGTTTGTGTCAGAGTTCTCTCACCCCACCCACCTCACAGGGTGTCTGTTGTGGGGAGGGGAAGGGAAAGGAGTTTGTAAGCCGCTCTGAGACTCCAAGTGAAGGGTGGGGTATAAATCCAATCTCTTCTTCTTCTTTATTTCCTGCTTTTCTCTCCAGTGGGGACCCAAAATGGCTTACAACACTGATCTCCTCTCCTCTAGTTTAGCCTTACAACCACCAACCTGTGAGGTAAGTTAGGCCAAGAGTGTGTAATTGGTTCAAGGTCACCCAGTAAGGCTTTTATGGAAGAGTGTGGATTCAAACCTGGGTCTCCCAGGTCCTAGTCCAACAATCTAACCATTGCACCACAATTATATATGCCCCCCCCCTAAGTTTTAAAGAGAGACTGGAGCTATGAACAGACAACAGATCTTTCTACAAATCTGAAAGAAGTCCTAGATTTACTGGAAAATGCAAAAAAAATTTTTTTAAAAACCACACACAGCAACACCCCCAAAACACTGGGGGGGTTAACCTTTCCCCCAAATAACAGAAGTTGACAATGGCATGGCATTCTCAGATACCAATTTGGGTAAGGTACAGGATCAATTTGCATAAGGCAAATTCAATAGACACACCAAATTAAAATACTGATCAAACAGCTTCTAGTTCTGAAGCTTCCTGAAAGGTTACCTATTTACTAATGCATACATTCCAAAAATATACACAGTAGACAAAGCTAAACAAAACCAGAAATCGTTATCAAAATACAACAGCTAACAACTGCATTTCTTTCATTTGAATCCTACTTCCAGTTGTATCACTATTGTTTGTGACTGATATAGTTCAGGAGTACCTCATAATCTGTTATGATCTGTATTGCACCATCATGAATTCCTTCAAGTTCTTTTGGTAACAGTCTTACTCTGAATACAGTATATGAACTGGGCATCAATGTTACCTGTAACACAGAAATATATACATTAGTTTCATTTGCTTTATCCCACAGTCTTCTGATGTATCACAAAGGGTCACATCAATAGTTATCTTAAAAGGATTCTATACCAAAACGCACAGAACAAACAGAAGTCTAGTGACATCTCAAAGACTAGCAAGATTTTATTCCAGCATAACCGTTTGTGGATTAAAGACCTCTTCAACAGATGAGCAAACTTCATCAGATACAAACTAGTCCACAAAAGGTTGTGCTAGAATAAGACCTTGTTTAGTCTTTAAGGTGCCACTAAAGTCCAGTTTATTTTTGCAGCAACAGACTAGCCTCTCAAATTAGTAACACAAAATGTCATTTATATAGTATTTGTCAATGTGGGAAATGCTCTGTACTTTTTACTTTAACAATTTAAACATCCCACTGTTTGCCTTTATTCACTTTTCACAATGGAACAACGAGGGCCCTAAGATAGTGACTAGGCAAAGACTAACAACTACTTCAAATGCTATGAAAGCAGTTGCTACATATCTGTTTATTTTAAGTCTTCATGAGGTTCTTTTATCACTTGTTTTTTAAACTGTACATATATACATACTGCAGGCAGCTCAGCACTATAAAGTGAGAAGAAGAGATATCCATCTCCATAAATAGGGGTACTCCTTTGTGATGACTTTAGTAAATTACTTTGTGTAGGCTTTCTAAATGCACAGGAATTGCCTGTTGAGGATACGCACTTACTTTTAGCCTTTTGCCACTGGACGTCAGGCATGCAGTGTGATCCTATGTACTTTTACCTAGGAGTCATGCACTGAACTAAATGGCACTTGCTCTTAAGTGTGCTTAGATTGCAGGCTCAGCAATATAGTTAGCGCCTTTAGTCCATATGCTGTACACAACTAGTATTTGGAGCACCAAGAAAGCTTGTTACTTACTGACGTTTGATCCAAAGCAGTGGCTTTTTCCAGATCTGGAAGATTTGCGATTATTGTCGTTCTGTTGCCTTTTGCAGCAGCCAGGAGTTCTATGATCAAGCCATCTCCTATCACATGCCAGCTTTTTATAGCCAGCTTGGAAAAGATGGAACAGTTTCAGTAACAAAAATTGCTGCCATTTAAATGTCAAAAAGAACATTTTAAAAATCTTTTTACCTGAATTGGATTGCTGTTAATGATTGCAAACAAAATGCTATTTGTTTCTGTGGCACTTAAGATGCCAAAATCTATGATCCGCTCTTCAGGTTTTGGGGGCAACACAAAATACTAGAAAAACAGAAGATTTTCTTCATTAATGATAGCTGAAATATGAGAAGTCTATTTTTAAGTCAGTAGAATGTTCTTGATTATGTAACTGCTGGTAGAAAAACAATCATCAATCTGCAACAGGAAATATCTTAGGATGCTTCAAGACATCAATGTGCTCAACTCTGCTAGTCATAAATGTGCACACGCAACACAAGAACTACATGGAAAATGCAGATTTCCCCTCTCCCCTCCCCTCTATAACATCTGGATGAGTAGTTCATGTCTAGCTTCAAGTGTGCAGAGTGCCAGGCATGCAAAGAGTGCCACAAGTGGTGCGAAAAGGCAGTACCTGTGAGATCTGTTCACTGGTATAACCCAACTGAGATGAATAAGAATTGTATAAAGGACAAAACAGACTCCTATGAAGCTCCCCATCTTAATGGGGATCAAGCAGAAAAATCTGAGTGGATTTTGTCCAGTGCTAATTAATGATGGGTAGGGTGCCTTTGGATTTCCCAGTTTAGGCATCAAGATATCTTAGACAGGCAGATAACTGAACAACAGGAAATCAAACCATTACAAACTTGGGTTCAGTTTCTGTTCAGATTAATCAGTATTTTTAAAGCTTGCAGTTCAGTTCCTGCAAAAAAGCTGACAGCTTAGAAGACTAGGTTCAGATGGCTTTTAAGAAAAGGTCCAGAGAAATCTACCAAGGGCAGGTCTGCCAAAGTCTTCTACGCATAATAGCTAAAACAGAAGCTAAACAGAGGCAGAATCATCAAGACACACACTTCAAAAACTATAATATAGCTTTCATCATGCCCTGCTTGGTATGCCACAGAGGCAACCGCTTGGTTGGCTGCTGCTGGAAAGAAAAGCTGGACTTCACAAATCTAGAAAAGGGTAGATACATTTTCATTTTACAGGGATGAGAAACTTTGGATAAAACAATCCAAATACGGACCAAAACTTAAGTGGGTCTTGCTTTTGATCCTACACAGATAACCAAACAACACTGAAGTATTATAGTACCAAGTCTGTATTATAGTACCAAGTAGTAACAAGAAGTTTTCCATACAAAAGCTACGGATGTCTGAGAAATTCACGGTCTGTTTTCACCCGAAGCAAATTGATTCTTGTAATTCTTGCATTCCGGAGTACACTAGCAGAAAGTCAGTCCATTCTGATTGTTAATTTATTCACACAGCTCATTATTTGGGAAATAACTCTTCCAGAACTTTTTTTTTTAAATTGTCCTTTGGCATAAGCAGCCTGAGGTCAAAAGAAGGGGAAATACCACCACCACCACCGCATAAGGGTGTGTACACACATACACTTCCTGGAAAAGTTTGTTTCTATACAAACTACCCAAAATCAAAGGAGAAAGAAGTAATTTTTCACGCACCTTCAAGACAATATCTTGATTTTGATCAACTTCTTTTTAACCAGACTTTTATTTTTTACATTTAGATTGGGTTTGTGTGGTTACTATTTTAAATTCAGCTCTGGCTCAGTTTAGTGTTCAGCATGTATCATGCAGAAATAATCATACATGTTGTACTTTTAAAACAGAAATTTTTAAAGAAGTCTAATACTTACATCTAAAAATCCAGTGTATGCTCGTACAGGTAGATGAAATTTAGAAGCATTGGTAATGAGCAAAATATTGTTATCAATATGAAGAGATGATAAGGAAGCCACAAAATGAAGTGTGAAAATATATCTGGATTTATTAGGTGGAATTAAAACTGGTTTGCTGAAGTTGTGTACCTAGGTTAGTGAAAAAATACAATCAAAGTCAACATCGAATCCAATTTATGTAACATTTAACAGTAACAAAATATCCTAATATATTATTGGACTTACTTTAAATATTAGTTTGATTTCTTCGGGTAGCGTTATGTCATGAATGAGGACTGCAAAATTGAATGTGTTCGTTAAATAGATTGGTCTTTCTACAGAGTCCGCTGGATTGTCACGGATATGAAATAATGTGGCCGCTTGATCAAACCCTAAGTACCTATTTCAAAAGAAGAAAGTCATAAAAACCGGAGATTTGCATTAACAAACAATAAAAAGAAGTGAATGGTCAGGCAATACCAAAACAGACCATGCGTTCATTCAAGCTCTTGTTTATCCAGCCTCATGAACACCTTTGTTTGCTTAAAGCCTAGTTTGCAGTTTTGTACCTGCCCATTCCTGATTTTAGCTGTTAGCGAGAGTAAATCCAATACAACCCAAACTCTCTTACCCTGTGCACCCCCTACCTTGCTCAAATCAGAAGTTTATCTTTAAAGCTAGAATAGGTTAAGTTAAAGAAGAAAATATAGCTAACCAAAATCTACTATATTTTTATTCCTGTTGACAGTGAGGTCTTGTTTGGAAGCCTTTTTATAGCTATTGACAACCATGCGAGTGGCTAGTTATAAATCTGTAGAAATTTTATAAATGTAAAACTGTATTTTTCCAAATCCATTACAATGCAATCTTACCCATCTAATACTTCTGCTTGATAAGGAATTTCAAGTTTTGAATAACTCTTCTCTTTTGCTTTAACTGTTATTTTTCCTGAAAACTGTAGCGGTCGTTTTGCTTTTGATGCTATATATAGGAAAAAGCATAAACAGTATTATTATGTGCACATAAACTATACCTATATTTTAATATAGTAACATAATCACTGTTAAAACCTTCAGTTGATGGAAGACCCATTCAACAGTGGAACCACTTTGACAACTTTTATGACAGCAGGCTATCCAACTAAAACGTTAGAACTTAACCAGACCTTAAGTCTGAAGCTTGAACGCAGGGCTGCCTTAAAACAGTGGTTGCTTGTTTAGCCTAAACAGTTTCAACAATACTCTTTCACTAGTATTCGTTAAAAGAAGATGGAGCTCTCAATAAAGTGCCAACATAATATCTTCTTCTCTTATCTTTACCATTGAACAAACACTGAATGGCAAGGTTAAACAATATGGAGCTTCATAAAATTTAAAATGGAGCCAGAGAGGCAGAGAAATCTTTGCTTTACAAGGAAAAAATATATTACTGTAGTTTGTAAGTTACTCTACCAACAACTGTTTGCAAAAGGGAAGCATGCATGTATTTAAACTTGCTATCACTAGATTTTACAAAAATACTAGCTACACAAATAGCATCCACACACAAGTATATGAGGGGGGGAGGCAGATTTTCAAAAATGATTTTTATCTTTCTCCTATTTAAATGGTTAGGCAACATCAGTACTTACCATCAAAACTAATACTTGCAACTTTGGTATATTTATTTTCAGAAGCTCGCAATGTAATTGGCTTGAAATGTATGGTGATAGCTTCATTTTGTGGTGTGGGTCTAACACTCTAGAAAAGAAGCAGGATTGTTATTTAGCTAAATATCAACCAACTACATCTAGAAAAATGTGGTTTGAAAAATACTGATTTAAAAAAAATGAAGCTTATTATAAAATAATTAAAATACAGTGGAAAGTAATTAGAACATCATTATATGCAGGGGTCATTTCGTACAAAAAGAGCTAGGGGAACTCATTAGCATAACTCATTAGCATATGCCACACCCCCTGACATCAGGGGCCCGGTGGTGGACCTGCAAGGCCAGCAGGAGTGCGAGGAAGCCCCGCCAAGGCCCTCCCTGGCCCCAGGCAGGCAGGGGTGGGGAGAGGCAGGGAGGAAGCAACTTACCCTCCCTCTTCTCCTGCCTCCCCCTGGCTGAATGAGGGCCGGAAGCGGGGCGGCCGGAAGCAGGGGGTGGGGCTTCATCATGTGCTCCGCCCCCCTGCACCTCAACCTGGGGGGACTGCGTTCCCCCACGTTCCCCCCCGAAATGACCTCTGATTATATGTCATAAATAATGGGTTCATATAAAAATGCAATTCACAGAAATATATTTAACTGTAACAGTTCAGAACATTTAGTAGACCTTCAATCCATTTTCTGAGTTCTAGAATGTTTTACGAAAAAGGTAGTATCATTATTGTGAAAATTTCTATTTGCACCTAAAGAGTGCTTACAGCTTTCAAAATTACATCAACAGAATATCACAACTAACAAAGTTGCATTTACTAATGATAAAATAAAAAGGTGACAAGAATCTTGCCATAGGCCTATCCATAGAATTTTATAAAACTGATATTCATGTTGTCTCAATGTTCCACCATATGGAGATCCTCTGTACGAGGGAAGAAAACACACAACACCTACCACATTTAATTTTATTCCTACCCCCCCATACCAACTCTTTCCATCAGAAGGTAAGCAAAAACAACTGAAAGTTAGGCAAAACCGTGTAGGATAAAATGCAAAAAGCTGTTTAAAAGACAACTTCCAAAAGAGATGCTTAAGCATGAGCACCAGACTTCTCCTGAAGAATTAATATTCAGGGAGGAAAAACAATCCTCAAAGATCCACACAAACAATTTCAGCTTGGTTATGGATCTTCTGTTGTACATTGTGCGTTTTAAGTGCTATAATGGAAGGGTAACCACTGTGTTTTTATCAATGCAGCACAGCTTAATATTAAGGGGTACTCATCATAAAGTAAACATAAAGCCTTCAGGCACAGAAACAGAAGGGTTATAAACAGGCATATGGACATTTGAATATTTTAAAAGAAAAAAGGCAAGAAAGAAAGGCTCTGCAGGCCTACATATAAAAGTTAGTACAGATATTACAACTATTGTAATTGGCAGCTGTAATATTAGAGTATTGACGAGATGTAGCTCTCCAACTAACTAACTTAGATGCCTGCTATATATAGTCTTGGCCTTTTCCTATGACATTAGGGTGAAGTTTGAAACGGGCTTCGGGCTTCTTCCTTGCATCTAGCCTATGTTGGAACAAACTAGGAGATACATACCCCTGCTCTCAACCCACCATGTTTATATGGAAATGAGAGGAAATATTTCAGCCACCAAATGATTCCATCAGATACCTCTCCAATACACTTAAAATGCAGAATGCCCAGCAGAACCAGTGCATGTACAGAGTGCCCCAAATAAGGTGCCCCCCCATCCTCCACTATTTTCAATGGAGGAAAAAAGAAAGCATTTAAGGGAACGCACTAGGTCAGTGGTGGCGAACCTATGGCACGGGTGCCAAAGGTGGCACTCTGAGCCCTCTCTGCGGGCACGCGTGCCATCGCCCCAACCAGGCCCAGACCATCATTAAAGTGTCAAATTCTCTGCCAAATAATTTGAAGTAAATGAAAGCATTTGGGATTGCTTTCCTTACTTTGTTTGGATCATCTTAAGTTAATGTATGAGTTGTTTTTTCTAAAGTAAAACCTCAGTATTCAGGTAGAATTGCCGTGTTGGCACTTTGTGATAAATACGTGGGCTTTGGGTTGCAGTTTGGGCACTCGGTCTCTAAAAGGTTCGCCATCACTGCATTAGGTTTTGCTGGGCACTAGTACATTGTACCGGTACTGCTTGGCACTCTGTACATGCACTGGCTATGCTGGGCTTGGAACCCCCCCTTGCTTGGATTTGTTGAGCTGGCGTTGCCACAGTGACACTGGTTCTGCTGGGCACACAGTACATGCACTGGCTGTGCAAGGCTTGCAACCTTCCCCCTCTTTGCTTGGATTTTTGAGCTGGCATTGCCACAGTAGCACTGGTTCTGCAAAAATGCTCCCCCCCCTCAGTTTCTACTGCAGAAACTCTCCGGTTTGACATCAGTCCCTGCTTTTTTGCTGTCCCCTTTGGGGGCTCATAGAATTGGACCCCTGGTCCAAACTTTTTGAAACTTGGGGCATCTTTTGAGTAGAGACACTAGAAGTTACGCTGAAAATTTGGTGCCTCTACCTCAACCTAAAAAACAGACACACACACCCAAGACCTCCAGATAGATTCCCCATTATAGCCTATGGGGATCATTGACTATAATGGTCCTCATAGACTATAATGGAGCATAAGGCATTTAAAGGTGTTGCGATCCCTTTAAATGCATTTGTGAAGCTGCAGCTTCACCCAGAACACTGTTTAGAGTGAGTGGATGCTTTAAACACTGTTTAACTGTGGCTATCCTGTTTTCTGGGGTAATCCTGAATTTTTTTCAGGATTATCTGGGACTGGCTATGATCGATAGCCAAAAATACACCCCCCTCTATAATCCATCTGAAAGAATAGCCAATAAATAGTGATAAGGTATTTTCCAGCTATTTTTCGGCTTGGATAGAGCAGAGTGCACACCCCAAGAAAGAACAGACCAGACACGTCAGTTTATGAAAGATCTTGTTAAGGCTAAGAGTTTCCTGCAGAGAAAGAACAAGTATCAGCTAGCGTCCACTGATTATGTTTATATGAGGTGGTCTGTAAGCTATAACCTTTTGCATATAAGGAGGATGATTTTACTTTGATAGATACCAGACTTTGTGGGATGTGCTTTAGTGCCTTTGAGCATGAGCCATCTTTAAACTGCTTTTCATTTGGTTTATTAAAGTTAGCTAGGATCAGAGGACACATATTAGTGCAAACTACAAGAAACAGCCCACCACTGCTACCCATAGGTGTTCAGCGTTGGATGATCATGTTGGGAAGTTTAAAGTGTTTAAGAAGAGACTGATAATAAGCAACTGGAATTTTACTCAAGAGCATCCAACAGTGCAATCCTGAACTGAATGACACCCTTCTAAATCCAATGATGTCATTAAGCTTAGTAGGGTGTAACTCTGGATGGGAATGCACTGCAAGCCTTGTGTGTGTATACATTTTAAATCACTGCACTGCATGACAGGTTTTCGTGAACATAATTAACATGCACTCATGTACTTGTAAATGGATTTTTGAAGGCACTGACTAGTTACTTGTGCACTTTTCAAGTCATCTCCCCTGAAGGACTCATCTGAAAGCAAAATGACCATTTTGGAATTCCATGGAATTTAGTGTGCTGAAGCTGATTGTTTTTACTTTAAGGTAGTACCAGAACAGCAATTGTTTAAATCGTTTAATTACAGGTCCAAAGTAATAATTAAGGATGACTATGAAAAATTAGAGCCTGGTTGATTGCAAACAACTGTTCCAAACTGACTTCTAAAAAGTGCCTCCTTGAATAGAAAGTTGAGGAATACAAAGCTGAGGAATACAAACAGAGGAGGGGAAACTGGGAAGTTTCAGCTACACCAGACTGCAGTCTCTTTTCTTAATTTAAAGTTTATTACAAGTTTATAAAACTCCTGTGCCAGCTCACTCCCCCACCCATCTGTGCTAAAACAGCAAGGAGAAAGATCATAGTCTCTTGCTGTCATTCTAGTCACAGAGGTTTGTTTTGCCACCACAGCACCCAATGCTGACAAGTTTCCTCTTTGAAACCAGGCAAGATTACATCAAAAGAGGCAGCCAAGTCCACCTGGAGAAGATGAACTACACCCTCCAATGAGATTAAGTTATATACTGAGCCGAGAGGGAGATCAGATTTCCAGATTTCTTTGACACCTAATGCACTTATGTTATTGCAGATGCATAGAAGAAATGAAAATATGATGAGACTGTTAAATTGAAGAGGCAGTACTCACAGTTATCGGTACATCCTTTGTTCCTGAATTTAACAAGTGTAGATTTAAAATTTTTGGCAGATCTGTTAAAATACAATTAAAAATGGACTAAGGCATGAATTACACAAAATGAAATCTATTCAAATTGCTGCTGTATATTTTATTTCTGTCCTCTAATGTTTAAGGTTACTTCTTGCCAGTTACGAAAGGAAAGCCATTATTTTATACACAGATTTAAGAATCCCTCTAGTCTTATTCTTGCCTGTATGGGCTAAACAGATGTTGAACATCAGCTACCTACCATCACTTATATCAGCCTAATATTACAGTTCTGTTCCAAAGCTCCACAACTTCTCTAGTATGCACAGGGAGCTCCAGAGTGTCTAAGCTCAGTACTTGGTTCTCTCTGGGTAAACTGGGTGTGTGAGTGATCCCTTACATTAAGGAGCCCCTGGATTAAAGTAAAGAGTTATAAACATAGGCCTCAGATGCAAAGGTGTCTTACACTGCCAATGCAAAACAGAGCACATTTTTAATTAAATTCAAATAATTAACCATTTATAGCATACAATGAGTTCTTAAACTATGTGGTTCTTTCCTGGCCAACACATTACAGGAGTCTTCAGATATAAGCCTTTAAGACATATCCCACTCCCAGCCCTGCACAGAGTAATGCAGTACTGCTGAAGAAAATGTACTTTAAAAGCTTTGCGGCTTGAGTTCCTTAATTATTTATACTGGAAATTAAGTAAGGAATCATGGGAATGCCCATCCATAGTGATCTTACAATCAAAGCAGTCAGGAGCAGTCTGAGGTTGTGTTTATTATGAGTTCTGTTATGTTTGCAATATGAACTCATTTCTTTTTTGTACAACACCCCCCCCCCCAAAAAAGATACACAGTCCAAGAATATTCTGGTAAGTATAGATTATATGCTATCAAACCTTCTCTCACCCCCACCCCCAGTTTCTTCCATGAAAAGTCTAAAGATACAGAAGAAACAGAACTGGGGTCTCTTTTTATCCAGTTTTTGTGAAGTAAGGTGTATTACATATATGACTCACCATGTGTTCTCAATGTACCAAAATCTAGCATTTCTGTTGATGAATAAATTCCAGGGGCTTTAAAAGACAAAGAACAGAATGAGTATTTAACCTCTACTGCACTACAGGAAAAAACTGAGCAGATGAACTATTAAACTGTACAAACCTGTTGTGACTTCTACCTCTACTGGAAGAATAATAAACTCTGTGCTGTCTGAGGCATTTGTTTTTATTCGAATGAAAGCTGTGTAATTATCTGCTTCTCTTGAAGAAAAACTGGCTCTCATAACACCTTTAGTTTCATATGGAGGAATTTCCTATTGAAACAGACAACGATACAAAATTATTGTACCTGTACAAGTCTAATAAACCCATCTATTATACAACTAAAGTATTCAGCATAATTTTGTGGTTTAGGTTCATTGCTTTAAAACGTTGAGATGGAAGCTGATTTCTCAACCTGTTTCCAAAATGTACACATACACAACTAGTTCAGAATCAAACCTGAGGATTATTCAGACAGAAATGCCAGGAGACAAGAAACAGAAACTTTCCAAGGTAAGCTGAGCTAATTTTGTTGCCAATACTCCTATTCAAGCACATTTAAGTTTTATCACCTATATCTGGATAATGGCAACCACATAAAAACAGCACTTTCAGTTTTCCCCAGGATTGTTCACAAAGGCACACAAATGAGTGTATACGCACACACACACGCACACATTCTCACACATGATCCACTCTCCAAACACAGCTGTATGGTTTTTCTTTCACTGCATTCAATCTTTCTGAAAACCCTACACGTTTAATTATACCCAAGAGAATACAACAATTAAGGAAGTAAAATTTGCTATTATTCAAGGAGGGGGGGGAGAAAGAATAAAGGGACCACACGTCATTCTCCATAAAACGACACGCATTACACCCCAATCAAGAACACTTTTAGCAATAAGCCAATGGGCAGGATGGATTCTGCCCTCCCCTCAGTGTCTCATACTGCAGCTCCTCTACTTTCTCCCAGCGAACGACTATCATTTACTGCTATAACAGACAGTAATGGAAAGCATTTGGAGACACTTGGAGTAAAATCTATTCTCCCTCCTCCCATAGGAAGAGCTGAATCAACCCTGTCACAGCCAGTCCATCAGTTCCATATTGCTAAATGTCAAGCAGGGCAAAAATAAAGAGAAGAGAGAGAGCTTAAGTGGGAAATAGTTTTATATCTGCTGGAGTACGATTCTGGCACACTGTCAGAACAAGGGACAATACTGAACATACCGGTGGGCTAGACAACAAGGCCCAAGGCTTCACTTCACTTGTGAATGCTTCCTGGAGTTCACAAACAGATCCCACAGTAGTGAGGCTTGGGTTCTAACACGCAGCCTTGACTCATATCAATCACATTACACGGATTAGCAGGTGAGAAAGGGGGAGGATTTCTGTTCTGCTTGAATCCCGATCAACTGAGTCTACACTTTAATATCCAAGCACAAGCCTGTACATAAAGAGTAGAGGAACTGCCATTGTCCCAAAATACGCTACTTGCTTCCTGTTCTGCTGGATGGCTGCACACCCAATTAGGGCCCTCAATGCAGCAAACAATCAAAAAGACAATAAAATCAACTTTATTTATTTAAACGGGCTCAGGGCGGCTTACACAGGGGCATAAGCCTATACATATAATAAAACAATATAAAACAGTAAAACCATTAAATCACAACAAACAAACAAAGTGCTCCATGCAGACAAGATGGTCTCTGAGGATGGTAGCAATAATTTCATTAGGGTGAAACTGTCCTGTCGATGGTCCAAGCCAGTCCAGCAGCATCAGTGCCATGCAAATTTATGGCCGTTCTTCCGGGGACCACTCCCAACCCCGTTGCTTCAGTGGTGGTAGTAGTAGAAGTGGCGGCCCCTATATAAAAGCCTGGCGGAAGAGCTCCGTCTTGCAGGCCCTGCGGAACTGCATAAAGTGCCGCAGGGCCCTGATCTCCTCCGGGAGCTCGTTCCACCAGGTGGGGCCGCCACTGAAAAAGATCTGGCCCTGGTCACAGAAAGCTTTACCTCCTGGGGGCCTGGAATCACCAGGCGATTTTGCGTCCCCGACCGAAGTGCTCTTGGGGGTATGTATGGGGAAAGGCGGTCCCTCAGGTAGGTCGGACCCTGGCCATATAGGGCTTTAAAGGTAAGAACCAGCACTTTGAAGCGGATCCGGTATGCTATTGAAGCCAGTGCAATGCTTTCAGCCCAGGCTGGATGTGCTCCCATTTGGGGAGACCCATCAACAGCCTGGAGGCCGCATTCTGCACTAGCTGCCGCTTCCGGATCTGCGACAAGGGCAGCCCCATGTAGAGAGCGTTACAATAGTCCAGGCTTGAGGTGACCATCGCATGGATCACTGTAGCCAGGTCATCGCGGTCGAGGAAGGGAACCAACTGCTG